ATTAACATAAAATTTTGATAAATTAACAAAGTTTGATGTACAAGTTGGTATAGGTTATATAATTACCAAACACTTTTTTATTCTTAATTAAATTATTATAATAATGAAATTTATTATTAATAAACACATAATACTATGGTTTAATATTCAAAAATATATAATTCATATGGTAAATGAATTACTTTAACTATTATTTTAATTAAATTATTGTGGCAACAAAATTTATTTTACCTAATTATTAATACACGTTAATAAGGTTTAATTCAAAAAAAAAAATTCATCAGTGAAAGTTAACTAACTTCAATATTAGAAGATAAAAGGTTGAGAATGAAAAGTTTTGCAATGAAAAAATACCTTTTCATTAAAGATTCGCTTATTAGTAATCTTATTTGATATCATTGTTATTATTAAATTGATGAAATTGAATATTTCGCTGTCAATTTGTCACCTCACCTGTCACCTGTCACCTTAATAAATACTTCTATTAGAAGCGATTGAAATCAAATGGAAATAGTAAGAAATAATAAAATAGATTAATGTGCAATTCGTGTGCATGCGTGTGCGTGCGTGCGTGTGTGTGCGTGTATGTCTGTGTGCTTGCGTGTGTGTGCGTGTATGTCTGTGTGCTTGCGTGTGTGTGCGTGTATGTCTGTGTGCGTATGTGTGCGAATAATTTGGCAAAGTTAAAAAGCGAACAGAAATATATTCAAGAAGAATAGCTTAAACTTAACAAACAGCAAATAAACATATGACAAATTGAAATGTTAACAAAAAATGAAAAAAGTTTCATTCTGTTCTGCAACAAACATTGTGTAATTATTGATGAATTATTTGTTAAATATTTCAAAGTTTTATTAAAAATTAAAAAAAAAAGCAAAACCATCTGCATTTCTCTTTTTTTCTACATTTTATTTACATAGTTACTAGTATTTTTTGTTAAATTCTTTGAAAATGTTGAAATTGTCAATTGCTTGCTAAAAAAAATTTTTTTTTTAAAGGAAATACTTTGATATTTTTTTTTATAAAAATCAACCATTCGATGATGATTCATATTTCTTCTGTTTGTGAAATGCCTCAAACTCATCAATTCATTCAATTTTTCACAGGTATGTAATTCTGTCATCCATTGGTAATATAAAGAAAGCAAAGAAAAAAAAGGAAAAAGAATAAGAAGCAGAAACAGATAAATACTTAAATAATTTATATTCTAAAAAATTTGAATTTAATAATTTTGGGTAATATTTTTAATTCTATATTTTTGCATTACTTATAATTTAATTTTTCCTTTTCATTCTTTTAGTGAAATAACTTCATATATTTTTTTTTATTTTCTTATTCGTTTCCAAACTTTTCACTGACAAACACATACCTGAAATAAACATAATATACTTAAAATTATAATTCTGTTTGTTTCGTTATTAAATTATAATGATACAAGCAGATATTTCACAGTAATTATTTATCTTCTATTAAAATGATGATTTAAAAGTATGATTTTGGTACTAACTTCATTTAGGCATTTTATTTATATCCTTTAATATCCAAGTATTTGCATTCCTATTGATATATTTTTCAAATTTTCACATAATTTAGTTGAAAATCAAAATTTCACTAATGAATTATTTCCTAGTTTAGGTTTTCTTTTTTTTCACTTTGTTTGTTATTTTATCAAGCTTCTTAAGGCATTTTTTTAATCGGTTCGCTAATTAATTATGGCGCTAATTATTCTCTATTCATTTTTATTTACCCATTTTATTAAATCTAAAAATTAATAAACATATTAATTTTGAAATGTTAATAGAAAATAGCTTAATAAGAAAAAAAGAAGAAAATGAGCTTTAAAATTTCATTAGAAGGATCAATCTGCATTGATGATTTTACTTGTTCAAATTAAAATTTAAAGTATTGCACCACTTCTCCTCGTTTTCACCCATCTTTTCTCTCTCTCTCTCTCCCTGTCTCTCCAATTCCAATCTAATTAATCATTAATCAAAAAATTAAGTGAATGCAAAGAATTTCATACTTATATTTTTATCTTTTAATGAAATATAATTCATTCCTTTTTTATAAATCAAAATACAGCAAAAAGAGAAAAAACGTGAGAAATTATTAATATGAATTACTTTAACATTTCATTAATTAGTAAATTCTGCTTATTTTGATGGATTAATCACCTATCATATATTTTTCTTTATCATTTCAATCATTCCTTCTTTTCCATATCAAATGATTCGTTTGCTTTTATTTCATTAAAAAAAATTTATTTCCTTTCCTTCAAAAAGTCCTTTCTTTTTTTTCAAATTTTTTTTTGCAGACAATTCAATTCAATGACTTTCAAAACAAAGCAAAAAAAAAAATCCATCTGTTTTGCATTGATTTATATTTATTATACAGTGTTTTATCAACTATTAACGATGTGAGAAATTAAAATAGAATCTTTCAATTTCAAAATAATATTCAATTTAATATTAATATCAATATATTGACATAAGATGAAAGAGTCTTTAAACTTTTTCCTTTAAAAAAAACTTTAGTACTGTAAGTATTTCTTATTAATTAATGTTAGTAGAATTTAGATTGAAAAAAAAAAGTGAAAAATAGAGTTTCAACTATTTCTTATGATCATATTTCTTTTATTAAATTAACAAACAACTAAAAAATCTTAAATAATGCTATTAATTAGAATGATTTTCGACCGTAGTACAATTAATCATTTATTTATTATCACTTTCTTTTTTGCATAATATTTTAAATCTTTAAAAATTTTAATTTTTTCAAAATTTATCGCTTTTGATTAGCAAAAATTTTTCAGATGATCTGGCTGAATCATAAATGTTATGACAACAATAAACAAATATTATTTCTATTTATTTGTTTAACAAACTACAGTAACATATCATATAGCTCCCAAACATTATAGTAATATCATTAATTATTAACAAATTAATTTACTTACAAAAAGAAAATTTATTTTTGCTATAAACGATTATTAAGATCCATGGGAAATTAGTTCATTTGAACTGGTATGAAATGAGCAGTAACATTAAATTTGTTAGTTTTCTAATTTAAATTTAATTTTTCTTAATTTTTTTTTTTTTTTTAAAAAAAGTGTATAGCATATTCAGAGTAAAATGTAAAACCAAATAAATCAAATGGATAAATTGAATTTTGTTGTATTTTCTTGCAAATACTAAGAAATTTTGAAAATGATCTGAATGATAAAAATATACTATTTGCGTAGTAATCAATCTTCATTATTATGATCACTTGAATAAATAAATTTTGTATAATCCAAATTGAAGATTAGAAAAAAAAACTTTAAAAATGAATGAAATTCAAAAAAAGCTTACAGTGAACAAATATGGACGAAAAAGAAAGGATAAAACTAGATATTATAATATTGCGTTATGTCAATAAATATGTGAATTTGAATGAATAACACCAATGTTATTAATATTATTTTCTTTTTTCTTCTTTTAAACGGTTTTGATTAAGTCATTCTTACATATCGAAATTGGTCGATGAAAATATAAAAAAAATTCATTTCATGAACTAAATCAATAATTTGATATGCTACTAAGTAATTTACCACCAAGTAATTTTATCAAGTAAACTTGTACGATGTAAATAATATTAGCATAAATAATCTAATGCAAAAAAAGAAAAATATCATGATAAAAAAAAAAAAGACACATGAAAATGGATTTAATAGTTTAAAATTGAAAAAGGAGAAGGAAAAAAGATTGTTTAATAAAGTTAATTAATCATACGAATAAATTTCGAATAATTAACAAACGTAATAATCTTTTTATAAGTGGATAAATTTAATGTAGGAAAAAAAAAAATAGCAAACACTAGATATTATGAATGTATGGCAAAAAAGCAATAGCGATCAAACTGATAATCATTATCAGCGAGCATGTAAAGTTCATTAATCATTGTTTATAACAAATAATAATGTTTGTTGTAACAAATTATATTATAACAAATAATAATCTGTGGAATTTACTATTTCATCAAATTATCAACTTGTTAAATAACATTTCTTCGTTTAGCATCTAACATGAACGTTCCATCCACCATCTGACTTGCTCTTTATTTTAACCTAATTTCAAATTGAGCCACAGGATAAAATTCAGCTAGCTTTATGCGTCATTCGTTCATCTCTACTACATTCATTTATCAGTGTTAGTGGAGTTAATATCATCAGAAAATTCACGAATTTTTTTCTCCAATACCACATTTTCTTCCTACACATTTTATTTCTCATCCTAAAAAAACAAAAAAAAAAATTTCAACATTTAAATCTCAGAAATTTGCTATAATAATTTCAAGTGATAACACATGCTTGATGATTATTTCTCTAACATATGTTTGTGATTTGTAAAACTGAAACAACATATCGTTAGAGGGAAAGAATTTTTAGAGGGAAAAAGGATGAAGAAAAAGATAAATTTTATTCTCTTTTATTTGATCGATAATTAATAATTACAGCTCAAAACTTCGGAAAAAAGATGATCGAAAATCAATAAATTTTTTATCAATTTAAATAAAAATGAATATTTTTAAAAATAAAAAGAGAATATGAAAGTGCAAAGTGGAGAAGGATAGCATGAAGAAGAATGAAGTGGAAAAAAGATACATTACAAAGTAGAACAAAATAAACGAAATGTTTTTCAAAATAAAAAAGTTGATGGCAATAAAACGAACGACAAGAGCATACAGAGAAATAATCTTGAATTTTGACAGGAAAAAAATCGATTTTTAGTTTTAAATTAACCGAAAAACAGCAGAATCCTACGAAGTATGTAAGCTATTGTAGATATCAAGCATATATAATTAAATGATTTGCTTAAAAGAACAATAGCAGTTCCGAAAAATACTGTAATTCTTTTGTCAAATATTTCAGTGAAATATGCTACTCACAAAAATGGAATCATCCACTGCTTTTGCAACCAAGCTAAAAACTCACAACTCTGCTTATATTTAAAACAAGTAAATCATGCTTCTTGCAGTTCCGAATGCTTTTGCTGAACGTGGCGAGCAAATGTCTTTGCAACTAAGAGCGGAAAAACAAGTGTTGCATCAGCGTATATTTTGACTGGTCTACAATCACTTCTGACTTTACCCCAACTTACAGCTTCATCCGGACGAGCACCTGAATCACTTCCATCAAATTCCTAAACAAAAATTTGATCAACAAATCCATTGAAGTAAAATTCAAACAAAACGCATCAAATAAAGTCGAAAACTGTTTCAATGTCTTGCAAAACAATATGCGAGAGGATTTTCAGCAAATTTATCGAGAATTCATTTTTAAATGCGAAAAAAGAAAAAATTAAAGAAAACCTGGCCAGTATTCACATATACCGCATAATCAGAACCATTTCGCATAAGATTAGCATTATTGATATGATGTTTCATAACACCACCACCAAGAAGTATTACGCCAGTACGATTTGATCGTACAGCCATTGTATTGATATGACGCAAGTCCTAACAAGAAACATATATATTGCTATTTTATCACTTTCACTGTTATCTCTTATTTACTAAGTAACTCTAGTATTAGAGAGAGCTAACACTATATACCTGTATTGATAGAACTCTTTTAGTATACTGGAATGAAAAAGCAAAACGCTTAAACGATAGAAAAACACACCATAAGTGGATTAATTAACGAGTATTTCTTCAAATAAGACAAGAAATTTCGGCTTGTAGTCGTTACTGCAATTTCGGAATTTCCAGCTTATGCTCAGTATGTTACTTAATTCTTCTTCATATATCTCCCCCTCTCTCCTAAAATCTAATTGTTTATATACATACATGTGTATAACAAATTTTCTAAATCCACTTATTACCATTTATTTTTACAGTCCGACTATTTGTATTTAATTGTAAAGTATAATACAATAATTATCATACTGAATCGGTAACACTATAATAATTAAAGTTAAATGAGGACTCGATCATACATTTGAAAACATGTAATAATATCATACAATAAAAACAATGATAAATTTAGATGGTTGATAAAACAGGAAAACTGATGTAACTATATCATGACCTAAAGAATCATACATATCCAGAAATTTCTTAAATTTTAAGAGTTGTCTAAATTAAAGAAAACGGAGAATTTAGAAAAAAAAAAAAAAATCAAATGCCAAAGAACCGAACAAACCTCTACGATGTCTAACTTAATTCCACCATTTCTGAATGAATGAAAATATAGCATATCACCAATTGAACCATCAGTTAATGCAGGACTGAAAACAGGAATTCGATTTCGATGAGCCCAGTAGCAAATTGATCGTTTATCATTGATTTCAGCACCTAGCCTGTCGATCAATTTCGATGGAGTCCACGAGAAATCATTATTTTTTTGTTCCAATTCACAGCTATCTAGGATAGGCATTAACCAATCCTCAAATTGACAATAGTTATTGTTCGGTATGATAATATTACCAGCTCTGCAATTATCATGAGCATTAAGATTGGAATTTTTTTTTTTTTTGCAGAACTGCATATTGCATGTATACAAATTTAGTTTTTCTATCTTCTTTAAAAGGTATTCACTCCTCAAAGAATAACTTAGTTTCATTAAGAAACATCACGGATATTTCAAAATCAAATTATTTTTTTTATTCTTTTTTTCTTTTTTTATTTAATAAATTAACTTTGAAAGCATTATATATATATATATATATATATATATATATATATATATATATATATATATATATATATATATATATTTCCTTCAGAAAGGAATTTGAATGGCTCCATTCATTATTAGATCATTAGGTTACGCACAAATTATTATGTCTCTATTATTATCATTATTATTTATTATTATTATTTATTATTTATTTATTTATTATTATTATTACATCAAATTACATCTCAATTTTGCATCCATTCTTTTTCATTTTGTTACATATTTTTTTCAATGATTGCACTTATTTGTTCAACAAATTTTGTTTCTCAGGATCATCGCTCATTTCACAATGACGATATACATTTCCTTTAGGAGGGAAATTAAGTCAAAATGTGAACAAAAAATATCAAAAGTCAAGAAAATTCACAAAATAAATATGATCTACAGGTAATAATCAAAAATTAGGGTTGTCGGTAAGGAATGAAAATCAAGAAAAAACTAAAAATTGTCGTATACTTACGAAATGGCTTAAATCTAAATAACCTGTTCAATCCATTGTGACGTAAAGTCTTCCCATCAAGATCAAATGCACCCAAATATGAGGGTGCAAGACATTTGATTAAATCCTCTTCGACACCACCAGCACTCGTTACAATGCAATCCACCAAATCATGTTCAACTAAGTATCGGATATTCTTAAAAATAAGTCAAAATCATGAAAAAATATATTGCTGGAAATATATATTTGCATGAGTTGAAAAGGTTAAAGAATAAGTTTGTTCATCGAGGATAAATTTATTCATCATATAATTATCTCTCAACGAAGAATTATCGAAATCAAGACTTCAAGATTCTGAAGGAAAGCACTTTTAAACTACTGAATACATTAGAGAAATCTTTGAATAGCACCGGACTTTTTGAAAAGCTAACATAATGTTGGATCTATAGATGAACAAAATTACTGAAGACCGATTTAGCAACGAAATATGGAATCATGAACGTACTTCTCGAACACCAGAAGTGACCAGATTACTTGTATAGCCAAGAAATATTGTACATGCTCTTTTTTGTTTCCCTTCTGGATACGGCAATGTATGATCACCTTCAAACTGTTCTTCACGTATTGTTAACATTGTATTTATTTGCTGAAAAGTTATTTTTATTGAAATTTTCTGTCCATTTAAGAGAAAAAAAAATTTTTAAATAAGAAACTGACATTATATTTCGATGTTATACGAATATAATAAAGAATAACAGAGCTTAGGACATAAGTTTATGTTATATGTTTCAAATATAACTCATTATTGATATTATTTGTAAAATTTCTTGCTTCTCAATGTGAACATTTCTTACCTGTACAGCTTGAGCAAAATGTGATGCTTGAAAACCAGTAGACATGTACTGGTCCAATAAAGCATCATAATTAATCCCTTCATTAAAATCATAGCCTTTAATAATGGTAGAATCTGCGGGCATCGTAGATGACTTCTTCAGAACAGACATTTCCGCTATATGAACATCAAATTTACAGTTACCGTTATCCATCCTGAAGTATAGCCCAAAGAAATATATATTTGAATTTGACAAAATTTTAGTTGCCACCATCAAATACCTTATTTTAGATACGTTTCCCAACCAAAACTGACTCATTACTATAGTATGATCATTACAACACGGGAGTTATGTTCACTGTCAGTTGCATTCCCCCTAATTCATATCATAATTTTTATATCTATCTCTTCCTACTTCCTTTTTTTATTTTTTAAGGAAACAATTATGCTGAGTCTTTTAGAACATAGAAAAATAAAACCTATTGAAAACTGATACTAATGTTTACTTTATTGAATTAAAATATATCACACAACATTGTAATAATTTGATTTGCTTGAAATGGGAAATTTTTAGGATGATTTTGACTCCCTTAAAATTTTATTATCGGATAATCGAGAATATTCGGTAAAAACACAACATCCGGATCATCAACAAACAAAGATATATGATGGTAATGCATCTGTAAAAAGCATGCTAAATCACAATCACAGATTACGAGCACATTTTGCAGCCTCTTCAGCTAATTCATCTTCGTTTTCAACTAGATACAAAATGTCTGCTAATGTTTGCTCGATATACATCTCTCCAACTCTTTCACACATTCCACGAGCTCCATGTGGTACTGGATATCGAAATGAAGGACCGAAATTACATCGAACCGTAGCACCTTGAAATAATGATACTGCAGGATAGTAGAAACCAGCATAAATATCCGTGAAAGCAATTCCACAACTCTTGCCATTTCGGTAAAATTCAATCTGAAAAAACTCTTTCCTAAAAAGTTTGAAAGCAAATTCCTCCTGTTTTTAATTTGATGAACTGAAATAATCACAAAATGCTGTGTCACAACAAACACAATTTCAGACTTTGAATCTTTCAACAAAATACGATGTGGAAAGAATTACGACTTGATTCAAATAAATGTATTTATAAAAGGGAATGTTAACTGATCTATTACCAAATCCGAAAATATGATAGCTAAATTTTTGCATGACCAGAACTGCAAAATAAAACTTAGTACTTTAAATAAAATTTTTAATTAAGCGACGAGTGAAACAATCAATGGATGATAACTACGTAGTTTAAATCAATTGTTAAAAATTTATTTGACTAAATTTATGAAAGTACCAACCCAGCTTCCAGGTGCTGGTTTTAAATTTTTTAGTGCAGCAGGTACGTCATCTTTCTCTTCATAAAAATAATTGTGTTTGAAATTGATTAAAGGTAGATTCTTGTAGGAAGGCGGCAAATACGACGATGAAGGTGGTAAATTTTCTACAGATGTAAAATCATATTCCTTATCGGCCGGGCACGGTGGTATCGATATCAAACATCCTAGGACGTCGCCTTCTTTAAAACCACCACTTGCATAGTGCCGACCCTGAAATTTGCTGTAAATTACTTGAGAACTCAGAATTCTTTCTATAATTGATTGTTTCCACTTACTCAAAAAAACATATAACTCGAGATTTTTTAATTTGAAAGACTTACTTTTGCCTGGTGAAACACTGTGCCTTTATAACTTCGCCAAGCATACGACAGTTGTGTATAACCAACACATGCTTGTATTGGTGCTGAAAGTATTACTCCGAATCATTAAAGCGTTGAGTTAGATTTTTGAGAAATTTACAAAGCAGAACTCTTACGCACATACCCACGGCTTGGCTCCAACCAATCCGAATATGTGAACCTGGTGGCTGCGCCGTAAAAACCACTTCAAAATACCAAGTACCATGTGATATTGAGTGAGTAGCTCGAGCGACACTGTAACCTTCAAAACCGCTCACAGATAATCGATCTTCAGACAATTTCAACTAAAAAACCAATCTGCAACTTATCGGCATCAAGAAAAAAAAAAAAACGGTGATAGGGGAAGAAATCTAATCAAATAAAAAAATATGAATTTCTTTAAGGCCACTGTACGAGAAACGGACCGTACTCACTTAACTATTTATGTATAATTTTTGAGCTTTCATTGTAAGAAAAAAAGCTCATTAATAAATTGAAGATTTTCAATAAAGTGCAAAAAGAAACTCAGCTCTACAAATCGTAATATTCCTGATAAAAAGATCCATATGGAACGCTTGATACCTGATAAGCACGATCATTTGGAGATAAAGTAACTACTGGGTGGACAACAACACGATAAATGTGTGCTGGTATTGGCTTGTTATATGTGCTTTCTTCCAATTCAAAAATGTCTCTGGAAAGTATACCAATTTCAACCGAACAGACATTACCAGAGAAATATTATTTGAATTTTCATTTGTGTGAAATCAATTTTGCTACCTTGAATGATATAATACTTTAAATAACTACGTAAAACCATTAATTTTTAGTCTTCATATATTTTTAAAATGCTCTTTGTAATAGAAAATCTCAAAATTCAGAAACTTTAAGAATCTCTGCAAAATCTGTGAGAGCAGTATTGCTTTTAAGAATCTGGAATAGCGCAGAGAAGTAAATTCTGAAGAATGTAATTAAAGTCTATACAAATAATTTCAAATCTCAAAACGAAAAATATTAAGCAAAAAACTGTGAAACTAAGAGCTAGCAATGAAAGCCAAAAATGACCTATTAGGAACAGTAAGATCTTTTTCGACAAGATAATATCGATAACCTTCCCGATTAAATGGGAAATCGATGGGCGCAGAAATTCCGACAATTCGTGTCGACGCATAATCAGCGGTACTGAAATACACAACTGATAAGTAAAAAATGTGAGGACAAATTTTGCTTTGAAATAAAATAGAAATAAATAAGACTTCATTTTTTTCCAAAAATCTCTTGAAAACTTAAATCCAAAAAAAAAAAATTTACAGCTTCGCCTTTTTGAACGTATTCGGAGGATCAAGATAGCGTCGTTTCGATGAACCCCTCGTTTTGGGACCATCGCCTAAATCATCCGACCTATCGAAATTTTCTTTATACAGGTCACGTGTTGAACTTGAAACCACTGGCTTACTTCGGCCGATCTAAAGCTTTCTAAGAAGAGATTCTGTAGAACAGCTTAAGTATCTACATACACAAACAGCAAATAATGGCATTTAGCTCAGCTATGTTATCAAGTTATTCGTGACATAGTACCTGCTTTAACGCTTCATGACCCGGACCCACGGATGACAAATCACGTTCACGTAATGCAAATACTTGTCCATCATCGCTTGATTCAAATAATTCTGTTTCTTTGGCCAAGGATTTTTGCAACGTTTGATGCCAAGTATTTTTTACCCTTTAATAAGTTTTCCTCAGCGAAATGAAACAAAAAGCAATACAGAAAAGAAATTCACTTGAAAAAAACTCAAAATTTTATGCTTTTAAAATATTCCTGCCTCTTTTGTATTGGCTTCTCCACTACATTATAGCTTAAAAATCTAACCATTATAGATAGCAATTTTAAAAGGCTTGAATTAGCATTATAGAACATTATAGTACTCTAATCACTACAACAGCTTACAAAGGCTTAATTCCCTGCCTCATAAGCGATTTAACATTGTCACGTTGTTACAGTTACAGCTGTTATTAAATGTTACCCGTATTGATGGTTTCAGCAAAAAAAAAAAATATTAACCTGCGACTCATGGATGTAAGATTTTCCCATTGTGCATTAAAATAAGGTATAATCTCATTTTCCAAGTTTAGAAATATCAATTCCTGATCGTTATCATCCGATTCATTTCCCGTACTAGCTCTTTTGGTCCGTGCATTATGCGTTAAATTTGCAAGAACGGTAACACACATATGGGCAAAATCTTAAAAAAAAAAATTATAAACAATCTCAAATAAAATATAAATCATTTTCAGTTTTACATGAATTTTGGAAAATCCTACAAAATAAAGCGTTGAAATTCTATCTAAACATTCAGAAGTATATTACGAGAATCACTTAATTCTTAAACAATACACAATTCCTACTTGCTTGTTTCGGTGTCCATGTTTCCTTCTTCGTTGGACTACAATCGGCACAATTGAATACATAGCATACCATGAATGGTAGTCCATAACTATAATAATTTAGGTTACGATAATCCAATATGAATGAAATATCTCCTAACTACTCTAGAATCTTTCGAAAATTTTGACTTACAAATCAGTTAAATCTTTCAAGCACCGTCCGTGGAACCATTTTCGACAAACAGCACAATAAAGTTCTAATGTTCCCACTTCACGTTTACCATCACTGAAAAACTTTACTTCCTATCGAATTAAAAAAAAAAAAATCAGACCTATTCTGTTTCCGATCAATTATAATTACTTCGTTCATGAGAAATCTCAAATATATCTAAATGCCGGCTAGCAAAATGTTAAACTTTTACATAAGTCATCCCAAATGTTTCTTTTTTTTTCTAGATTTCATAAGAAAATAGCATATAATTGTTTATCTGCTTTGGCCTATTTAATTAAATTAGATCCCACACTTAAAAGACGATGATATATGTTACAATAGTAAAGTTTCAACACACATTTACCAGTAACAAACTGATGATGGAGCTGGTTTTGTTGCTCCTTTACGGGTACTTCTTTGTCTCATCTTCTAAAAGTAAAGCTTTTTCTTAAAAGTTCATGATTTGACTTAAAAAAAAAGATTTGACTTTTAACAAAAAACTCCACTCGTCTTTCCCTTCCAAACGTTATGCACTATTTTCGTCCCGGTTAGGAAAACTTCATGCAATTATATCACTTCATTGGTTTCTAGTTTACTATTTCTGTTTTTACAAAAATAGATTAAAATAGAACACTAGATGTAATATAAAGAGAAACCAAATTAAAAATCTAAAACATAAGCAAATTATCTGATTAAGCCATAAAGTGGAATATAAGGAAAAATCTAATGCAATCTCATACATCAACCAGCAACCACCCTAAAGTACAATAAGATCGAATGATAACAATATATGAACAATATTAAAGTAGCAGCACTCATATTCTTGCTTAAATCAACCAAGCATTTAGTTGTTTGCTTAAAATTTAAATATGCAAATTAACAATGCAACATGAATGCCAATGTTAGGAGGTCAAATGAGCACAAAGTTTATTTTCAACAGTATTTATAACCTGACAAACATTTAAGTATCATCATAACGATCATAACGAATGAGAACTTTACGAGCAGCATGCAATGAACCTGTGGAAATGGCTACTCTTTTTTGGGAGGTAACACTTTAAAAAATTCAATATATTCAATTTCGTTATCCCGGTTCATACGGACCATCTATATCATTGAAATGACAGAAATACTGTCAAGCAAAGCAAATATTTATCTTTACATTGGTCAGTTTTATTTGTCCAACAAATATTTGTTTGACAAATAAGATTTTATAATTTTGCACTCCTGAATAAACACACCGGAAAAATATCAACTGTTCTTTCATTCGGTTATAACACAAATACTAGACATCGAATGTATACAATCCAACAATTTTATAAGGTTGGAACAATTGTTTCAATTTGCTCAATGTTTTAACAATGACACAAAAACATAACAAAATGCTTTTTAAAGCAAGAAGGAGACGATCTGCATTGTAGGAATAAAATATAACTGAACAACTGAAACTGTGTTAGATTAATTAGTAAAGTTGCAATCCCATTTTTTAGACCTGAAAATCAATCGATGGTCGTCCTATCTTAGGTATTAACATTTTTGTAGTATTGCTAAAAGAGCTTACATCTTTTATAAAACTTCTAACAGGCTACCATTATATTCAATACTGCAATAAACACCATGTAATTAGTAAAAAAAAATCTTTCATGGCATTAAATGACCAAAATCAATCATGTATTTCTGTTTGGTCTGATGTAAAAGATTCGACAGTGTAACTGACGAACTTCCTACCCAACCCAAAAACGGTCCTGGGCATCAAAGAAATTAGCGAAAACAGAGCCAAGCTTCTCGAAATCTCTTTTATTTGTTAACATTCACTTCGCGTTCGAATTGCATTTGACTGTAGTATTTTGCTGAATCGTTCTTCCATAAACTGTTCCAATTTGTTTGCACACTAAAACATTCCTTTAAGCTACATAAGCTTTGTATTTCATAAGGAATCATACAAGATTATGTCTCGTGTACCCCAATCATCAGACTGAATAATTTAACCTTAACAGTTTTTCCTAGTATATTAATAATAAGAACTTGGCATTATTGCAGAGACCATAATCAATTCTTTTTCTCCGAGTATGAGACTTTTCAAAATACTGAACCATTAAAAAAGCCTAACTTACAAAAGTGAACAAGCATTAATAATAGAGAACTAAAATATTCATATACCTTATAGATTTCGGATTCTTCCTCATTGTAAATACGACAATTCTCGAAAATCAGCCGTGCATCGGCTATTACTTGATCAGGCGTATCATACAATCGTTGCTTTAGTTTATTCATTATTGTACGCAGATCCATCGGCCTCTTGATAATCTAGAAAAATATTAAAGAAACTCATCTAAGAGACTGATTTTTTTTACTAATAAATTAACCATAAGATAGTCAAAACAAATAGTTAAATAGTCTAGAATGCAGGTGTCTTTCAGAAAAGAATGCTTAACATTTGCTACAAATGAAAGTTTTGATAATTCCGGTGAAATTTCGAAAGAAGACTTCTGACATATTTGGTAAACAAAAAAGGACTGAATACTGAAAAATTACCTGGTAGTAGTCAGGCACGGCCTTTGCATCTACTGGTTTTAAAAAAGGCCAAGCAATTTGCTGTCGCATTGCGTCACTTATCAGTAATTCGAAAGCACGCAATGTATTTCGTATCCGGTTATCCGTTTCACGCAAGCTAATCGTTAGATTCCCTAGTGCTCGTTCACCACTTTTACCTAGAAATGTGCGTACTGAAAATTTTATGCTTCGAATTTAAATTAGGAATTCCATAAATAAATCATAATCCTTTTACGCAACTTACTGGGTCGTTTTCTTTTTGTATACGAATACTCACTCTCACTAGTGCTTCCGCCCTCATCACTTTCACCGCCAACAAAATTCTTCTTCCGCACAGTTCGCCTCATCTCTTCGAACGATTCATCAGCATAAGCTACCTAAAAAATCCTTTCAGTTAAAAAAAACATTACCTAAATAATCCATACGAAATATACAACGTAATTATACTAACTTTCTTAACAATACGCCCGCTTGACGTTTTCAGCATATCTGATGGGAGCTCGAATCTGAAAAGCAATGTAACAGAAGTTATAAACCGATAAAAACTTTAAATCATAACATTGAAAATCTAGAAATAAGTAGATATAATCTGAAGGTGAAACACACTCTTCCTCAGCAAGTGGCTGTTCGGAAAATTCGTCTGCAGACGTACCACATGCATCATCGCTTCCTCGACTGTAACTCTGTTCCTCTTCTTCTAGAAAAGAAAAAAAAAACTAAATGTCAACAAAAACTTTAAATGCATTAGATTCACACTAGCTTGATTGAAAACTAGAAATCTGCTTAAAATTATAACATTGCCCCACTTTAGAACATCTAGTTCAACCTTCTTTTTTTACCGCTTGTTGGCTTTTCCATTTCTCTTCGGCTTCCTGTGCTTTTACCAGAGCCCTACAGTCAGAGCACATCCAACCATTCGTATCCTGGAAATCATTAGCTCTAATCAACGATATACTGATGTACTAAATTTGTACTACATGGTCGAAAAAAGAAGAATTTTATTTGAAAAATACCTTGATTTTTGGCTTAGCACAATCAATGTGATAACATCGATCACAACGTGCACACATGCACAGTTTTTCAGTTTCTCCCTTTTTACGGCATTTCCGACATCTTGCCTTAAATTTTAAAATAATTCAATTGGAAATTCTTTCTTTATCCTCAAAAAATAAGCCGGACTTTCGAAAATTTGAAGAATTTCATAAAACATAACCAGCTGATTTCCGATTAAATAATGCCATACCTGAAGCCGACTTCTTGTCCATAAGATGGAAGATTCTAAAGTTGTGTAATATAGTGATAAAGCCGATATAGAGCAGCATTTTAATAAAGATTTTTGCCACTGATCAAAAGTAGTCGTAGGAATATTCGCACAATCTTTTTCTTTAGAAGAAGCTGTAGCAAAAGGTAGCCGCAAAAATTTTAGGTTAATTCCTTGAACAATTTGTAAAAATGCTACAGCTAGATGTTCCAGTTCACTTAGTGACTTCACTTCATCAACGGTAAATACTGTTTCTCCAAAAACTTCTACATCACCTAAAACAAAAAAAGAAATATAGATTGAAGTTATAAGAAGAAATGAATTGAAATTTTTCAAATTAAAACAGTAATGCAGAATGTAGAGACTAGGAGTGGAAGCAGCTATAGACACATCAAGCAAACAATCAAACAACATATGCAGCAACCGTATTGGAAGATAACGCGATCTTGTTCATAATAAAGGGAATTTTTATCTCAAGGAAAACAAAAAAATCATCTTTGATTATTGCATATACAATTTGAAGAGCTTTAATAAATATATCATAATTCGTAATCATAATTTATACATCGACGATGAATTAGAAAAGCCCTATAAAAGAAAAAGGAACAGGGAAGAATAGATATTGTTTCCATTGTATTAATCAATTTCGTTTAAATGAAACATTACTTTCAATAAAAGAAGTGACATTACGCTTCTGAAGTAATGACTCACGCCACTCTTCTCTACGACGAATATCACTAATAGCTAAATGACCAATGCACCCTTGTTCAACCTGAAAAAATTATTTCCTTAGAATCATAATGAAACAGTAAGAACAAACTAAAACAAATGCACCAAGTAATCAAATATGGAAAAGAATACCATCAAATGAAACCAAATTTTTTCAAACACTGATTAGCAACTTCCGTCCTGTTCAGTAAAGCAATAAAAGTACAATGCTTTTTGTCTTAAGAAGCTGTAAATTTTTTTCGAGGATTAAGTACAGCTAATGGAGTTCATGTAATTAAGGATTACATCAGTCAACCAGTGTCATCATCCCTTGCTGTAAGGAATGCGTGCAAGGCTTTGCAGTCGCATTAAATTACATATATAAAGCTAAATTTATGCAAGATTTGAAAGCGTCATAACCTTTTCTTCTAAATCCAAAAGCATATCAATAAATTCACGACTCCAGTCAAATGCCACAGAGTTATCTGCCAAATCAACATCCGTCAATAAAAGTTCGGTATAAATTTCACCAGAACTGATCTGGAATTCAAGCAATAATTTTCATACACAAAAAACTTCCTATTCATCACAACTCTACAATTTTATATTTGTCACTTGTTCTATGACCAGGAATTAGTTACATTCCAAAATCAATTGTAACAAAAAATCTTACCTTGTCTGAGCACCGACCAAGTATGCTTTTCAATAGAGGACTGAAGAACTTCAAGTTTTCCAAAAGTTCTGATTCCCGAAAACCACGACTGTTACACGCAGACTCAATCTGGAATTTCAGCGGTATAAAAAATTAACCAATACATGTCCTGTATATTCCGAAAACAGAAGAAAACTGACTTCATTAAGAACATCCATGTTTTTGATTAGCTGCCACCGAGAACGACGGAACTTCCCATGGACTGGGCAATCTTCAGTGGCTGTACAACTCAACAGATCTTGCCGCAATTTATCATCACTCTCACACAACTGCCGATATTTCTCATCAACCTAAAGCCGTCGAAAATTTAGAAATTCAAAAATTATTTGCATATTTCATAGAATGGAAATCAAAAAATTAGAAGGTTGGAAAGTTTACCCTGTCCAGTGGTGTTGGTCCAAGGCACGGACCTCGTTCATCCATCGAATTAATATTTTCTACCAAAAGCAATGGCAATGAACTAAAGAACCAATATGTACGAAATCCTCGATCACGGCCAAGACAATGCCAACCAACGCGACCTAAAAAAAAGACATCAGTTAATAACAGAAAAAATACGTCTCAAACTTAAGATGTATATTTTCACAACGTAGTGGCCCACAGCATTACTAAAGACAGCTATCAAAATATCAACTCTGAAATCATGCATTTCCCAAGTAACTACAACAGTCTCTGCTATGTTGCTAGTAATCATGCTCCCCTTACTAAAATTTAAAATTGATATTTGCAAATGACAGCTATACTTACTTTGTATTTTGTAAATGAGTTTGAGTAAATCATTTTCTGCGGCAGTCGTATGTTCTACTTGCAACGAACGAACTTTCTTTATTTCGTCAGCTTCCATCTGAGCATATGAAACCCCTTTCATGAGTATCTGGAAAGCAAAATCTACAACAAAATCTATTTATAAGATATTTCAATATAAAATACAGAAATGGAAGAAGGAAAGAAAAAACAACAGATACGAACTCTTTGAGATTTCAAAACACAGAAACTTCCAAATAAATTTGAAATATTTAAAACAACAAAGCTCTAAGAAAATTTACAAAACCTGTTCCACTTCTCTCAACCTCTCGTCTCTTCTGCCAACGAAATTTCCGCCCTTTACAAAATTAATTAATGTTATTGTTTCCTTGGAAGGTTCCTCTTTTTTGACAAAATCCGCTCTAGCTGCTTCACCCAATTCTTCTAATTGCTCTGCTTCATATTCTCGAACTAACGAAGCCTCTCGTGCTTCTTTTTCCTGAAAAGTTCTTAATGGATTTGCAAAGACATTCTGCTTTAATTCATCACTAATAAATTTCTCTTATTAATATATTCATAAGTATACGTAGATGAAATTTATAACAATTTAACCAACATATCATTATTTTCAGAAGTTTTTGAAACAAAAAGGATATCAGTAGAATAAAGCAATAAGAAAAACCTGCGCTGCATCGAAATTTCGAAGATTTTTTAGCTCTTTCCGCACATCAAGCAACGAAATAATACGTTCATCAGATGTGGAACGAAATTTATGGTAACTAAGTAACTGCTGTATCACTACTTTGAACAGCGCTATGCGTTCATAAGGTTGGAGATCAAACACCGAATTCTGGAATACATTTTCTGACACTCATATAAAAAGTAGCACAAACTTCCATTAACTAGTAAACGTTTAAAAAACATAATAGTGTTCTAAACAATGTAAGAATAAAAAGTACAACTTATAGCCTTAAATTATATCATTTTCCTTTAATGTCCTTTTGGGCCTCATCCCACTGTTTCCAACAGAAACAGAATCAGCTCTATTTTTTTCTTCAAGTTTCAAATAAAAAGTACAAATACAAGTCAATAATAACCTTTTCCAGAATACTCATAATTTGTGGATTATCTTTGGCAAACAAAAACCCTTCATCTTCATAGCAGCGTATAGCTCCTCTTGAAAATAACCGAAATCGGTGAGTGGGAGCACCTGTATAATATCCAGATGTCATCAACGACAACCGCATTACCTCGGTCAAAGTCATCCAATCGATCGGTAAGTGTCGTGCGCTCAATCCTAGAAACTTTTTTACTTCGACTGAAAAATTTTTGACTGTTAGCAGATAAAATGTCTGCAGTATTTGAAACGAACGATGACCAATACTACTTGCTACTTGCCATGTGTAAGCCGAATATTCTCATGAAGGATTGTTGCTTGGCGAATTTCCGGACCATATATCTTGTGGTCGATATCATTTGCATCCAGTGGTATTTCTTCTTTGTTGCTTAAGTTAGCTAAAATAAATTTACGTTTCTGAAATTTACATGTTCCAAACTTCCTGTTTCTGAAATGACAATAAATATGATTTCACTTTTTGCCGTTATGCTACGAAGTTCCAAAAACCTAACTACTGATGAATTATAGTAATTAGTAACAGCCTTATATTTGTTTTGGTAAATCTTTTAACGTCGGGACTTAAAAAATCCTCTGAAACTAATACTAAGCAAAACAACTGATATTATAGAACATCAGTAACTGATTTAACTCTTTCCGTTTCAAAGGAACAGGAATTGGTCTGCACCAGGAAACCGATTCGGAATAAAAATCAAGCACGTGTCAACATTACATATGCTAGTTGATGAGAATCAAGCATATTTAAATAAAGTCAGAGGTTTAGTGCTTTGCGATATTTGACGATGACTAATAAAATTGAGAATTTCGTATTGAAATCTTATGGAATATATGGTATTCAAATCTACGAGAAGAAACTTTACCTTCATCACCGTCTTCTTCATCAGCTCGTTCAGCTTTGGCTTTCAACAAAATATGCATCAACTGAACAAATAAACTATCTTGCTCTGGTGTCCGACTTCTTACAGCTGATATAATTTCACTAAACTTGACCTGATTAATACCGCGGACCTAAAAAAAGTTGATGTGAGAAATTTTGTAGACTTAAATAGAAAATGCAACTCACAATGAAACATACTTCTTTAATTGGTAACAACTCCGCGAAACTTTGGAAAAATTCAAAAATGTATAAATAATCGCCAAAATCGTCGTCGGACATCCACAGAGGCAGTAGAAGAGGTGCCAAATGAGGTAAGGGCTAAAAAATCATGAAATAATCTTACCTTAAATCTACAATTATAGAAAGAATATCATGAAAAGTAATGAAGTATAACCTAACTGTTCATTCTTTTATAGAAAAATAATTTTGCTGTTTAATTAAATAATACTAATCCATCAAATTTGATTTTAATTACTCATTTCTTGTTTTGAAACTTTTTGATTTCAAGAATAACAAATTTTACTTGAAGATCATCACAAAGGATATCATCTCTTGGTTTCTTCCATTCCAGTAACATTTCTTTTGCCCGTTGTTTATTCAAACGTTTTTCCTCACGATCCTAGGTAAATAATATCTGAACAATTATACAGTGGTGGATGCAAAAATTTGCCGTGCATTATGGCAAATAAAACAAACAACAGAGGAGAAAGTTCTAGCAAATCCCTTCACATATAAAATTTGAGCATCCAATGGTGCTATGAATTTGCATTTGAAAAGCAGTAGTTGATCTCAAATGGGAGTCATATTAGAAATCAAACAGAATGGTGGAAAATAACAAATGCCATCAATCTTTTAAAGAAAAATAAATTTAAATCAAACCTTTTCTTTAGTCTGCCGAATTAACTGCTTCAATTCAACGATTTCAGCTTCAGAAAGCAAACGTTCATCCTGTTCCCACTGGGAGAGATTTTCAATATTTACTTTTCGTGCTTGCTCAAAAAGACTCTCCAATTCTTCCTGCTGCTCAGCAATCTGAACGATTATTTTTTACAATCATCAAAGCTTATAAACCATTAAAAAAATAAAAAAACAAAACGCAATGTGCAGAATTAAAGATTCGAAACTGAAGCAGTGAAACAAATTATACCGCTCTTTTTTTTTTCGTTTTTTTGCCACTCTCTCCCTTCTTATCGTTTTCCTTTTTATCTTTCTCTAGAGATGCTTTCTTAGATCGCGAATGTAACTTATCTTTTTCAACAATATCAACAAAGTCAGCATCCGACGTCGACTGTGCATCCAGATCATCAGCAGAATGACCATCTAAATAAAATAAAATACTCAGAAGTACAATTCAGAAATCTGGTCAACTGGTTACAATATTTTATGAAAAAAAGTACTTAGATGGTTGCGAGATGGACGAGAAATTCCTTTACTTGGTCCACGATGCATTAACGGTGTTCGCGGAAACTGCGCAATCGGTCCAGCAAACACCTCATTCCATGACATACTGTCTAACTGGAAATTTTCCCGCAATTCTTTCTGAAAGAATTAACTTTGACAATGAGCTGAAAGCTACGATCTCATGGAAACGATAAAATTTCGCTCACATTTACTAAACAAACAAATCGAATATTGACTTAGTCTACACAGCAGTTTTTTTCTACAGATTCGTCTTCCAACTATTATAATGATATAGAAAGTCTCTTAGGCTAGAGTCTGAAACCAATATAGTAAAGCATAAAGCTATACAAACATATAAAATATGTTGATAGTAAAAATATAACATCATGCAAATTAACTCCGAGAAGCTTACTTTTACGGTTAGACGTTCGTGATCTGTTATACACGAATTTTTCAAGAACACACGGATCATATTCCGAGCCCACAGAGATTTGCTTCGTCTAGGAAATATCAAATGATATAAAATAATACGTACTATGAACTTAAGCAAAAGTTTCAAGTTTATCTAGAAGAAGATAATCATTTAAACAATCAAGAAAAAAATTACAGTAAATCTTGATGACTGACTCGTTCGCGTACTTTATTGCCAGCATCGCCGTTATGCTTATCTAATATTAGGACATCATACATATAACGTTCCGCTGGTGGTATTAATAGCTCTCCTCTTTTCACACTTGAAAAAGGTTATTTATTTTTTCTAATGATTTGTATAATTGTGAAATTCCGCACGGTATTAACTTGGCATTAAAAAAAAGAAAGAAAAAGAAAACAAATAGCGAATGCTGGTCATTTTGACAAGATTCAAATCACAAATAAATTAACTAAAACAACTCACAAAATGGCTGGTTTCTTCACATCATTATGCTGATTTGTGATAACATCATTTTCCACATCAATATACGTCACTTTTTTAATTATAACATCTTTTCGACCACGTCCACCGCTGTATGTAACTTCTTCGCCCAGCAGAAAGTGATCTTTGACAAAAAAGTAAATATCGTTTACCAAATCTTCGATTCGCCCACGACATGATAATTTGTATACAAGATAAAGAATAGGTCTTGCAAAAGAGGGTGGATAAGTCTTCAGCGTTTCCTGAAATACTTTTAATTAGCTGATGGAGATCGACAATTAGGAAAAAATCAAGCTCCATGTCAATTAAAAATTATTAAACCCTATTAATACCTCAAAAACTTGCTTTGAAATTCAAAATCAATTAATGAATTCCAACCTGTAATACCAGTTCGTTGTACAACAAATCTTATAACTTATTATTTCAAAATTAAACAACTGCGTGATGCGATGCAGATATCTTGTCTTACCTGTGCATTCTTTTCAGAATCAAGAGCTTCCTCAAATGTCAAACCCGTCTTTCCGGTTACTGAACATGTCCAAACCATCGAACTAAGAGAAATTTGTCGTTGAAAAAAGTCACTGGAAATAATAAACTTTCTTTATAACATTTAATTTCTAAGAATCCAAAATTAATGAAAGATTCCAAAATCTTTAAACTTCAGACAAAAAGGGTGAAAAAATCATCTAAAAGGTGAGCAACAAGTTTGGTAAAACTGATGTCCCTGTATCACAGTTCAAGACAAAACTAACCAGAGGCAAGCCTGGTATGATAATGCGTAAGAAGTACGACATATTTATGACTGAACTTACAGAAAATAAACAAAAATAAACATTTTTAAAAACTTACTCATACGATGTGAAAATTTCATTAGTGAGTGGAAGATAAAATACTTTATCATCAGGTTTCAGACCAACTGGACATGGTGATGGTTTGAACTGCTTCCGGCCAAGTGATGGCATTAGTTCAAATCCTTGTAAGAGCCTAAAATAATTCAATCAACTGATAAAATATGAATCATACCTTGCGAAACCCACTAAAGCAATCGGATCATTTAGCAATAGTGTTGTATATCACCGGACGGTGGTATACCTACAGCATAAATCAGGAAACGATAACAATTAGTTAGGTTACAAGATGGATACTTTTTAAAACTTACAAAAAATAATTATCCAATCTTATATGTATGCATGAAATACTACCTATCCTGAGTCTACAAATACGAAATGTATAATCGATCTTTTCTCGTCACGTATTATCATTCATCAAAGATGGCAAAAAAGTCTTCAGCGATCCAACACTTACAAGATAATGTTGCATGTATACTATATCTCGGGGTATACATAATGCACGATAAGCTCCCTTATCCTAACCGTCTTAAATTCTGAATGTTTCAATTTTTTACCAGGAAAAAACAGGAAGTATTCCTTTCGCTTTTATAATATTCACACCCGTTTTATAATACCCAGATTCCCTGAACACAAATATATGTAACTTAAAATAACCATCTTTGCCTTCAAAAAACCTATTTAAACTCTTCAAAACTTAACGTTTTCTTCTCTAACTTCATAAACGTTTAATTCTATTATCTGCTAAACGAAATTCTGTGCAGTCACACTCTATCTCCACTAATCAATAATTTATCATGACAAATGCATGAAACTCGTTACTAAATATTATGTGTACTGCACGCACATATACTGATTTAGAACTACAATCGCCCTTGATTTAGCTTATAAACTACAAACCCCTGCGTGCATTATGTCTCTACGTGAAATATGAGCAAGAAAACTACTTATTCAAAGAAAGGATTCGTTTTTGCATAATTATCATTGAATATTGCCTGCATGGGATGAAATTATTCATATATACACAGCGTAAGAGCTCTACCCATTCTGCGACATTCACTAGAAGCAAAAATTACGCGTGCGCGTAATTACGTCAAAAGACGCAAACGCACATATGTTGCTTGCTTCGCTATACGCTGTAGTAAGCTACCTCTTAAATTTCATTTTAGAACAGTTCCTCAACCGTCACTTCATTACGAGAGCAATATGAGTGGGGAGAATAGAGCGTGAATTATCGATTGTGATGACACTGTCAACACATATAGATAGGAAGTGCGTTGAATATGTCCGTGCACCTGGTTGATGCATTTCGTACAAACCGATATCTTCCGCGTGATTCTTCTCAAATATTGGAAATCAGAAGTGGGAAGCGATCTCGAGAAACAAAAACTGTCTGGAACTCACTGAATGAAGGCAAAATAGATTACATGAAAATGCTAACTAGGATTTTAGACAGCTCGTTTCCTATTCAGCAAAAACAAGTAAAAGTAACACCTGCCAGAAAATGAACATACAAATCAATAAATAATGACATTCTGATAATTCAATAAATTTAGTCCGAATCATTTATAATCCTTCCAGCAGTTCTCTCATAATTTTTGGCATAAAACTCGACAAATTCTGCTATAACTGCACTAACAATTGCAAACTGAATGATCAGCTAATACAAGAAACAGGCGAATTATGAATACAAACGGTTATTAACACAACAAATAAACAATGAAATATATAAATAGACAAGCACGCATGGATACATGCTATGTGAAGACACGTATAATTACTTACTCCACCTGAGCAAAAACGGAATTAATTACTTATTTCATTTAATGGAAAATCAAACTGATTATTCCAAAAATATTTCTTGGAAAGAACAGATGCAGTATTTTACTTTAAAAGATTCATTTCTCCCCTTAATGTATCGGTACAGTCCCTCTCCTATTACGTCTCTTCCACGTAACGTACTTCAATTACGTCTTAAAAGACTATAAACAATGAGCTACCTAAATACGCTTGGAAAAAAAAAGCAATTACCACATTAATGTAAAAGCTTTAAAAGTAATTTAAAAAATAAACCAATTATATTTCGCAACACTCTAACCTCCTAGTTACTTTATTGCATACGCTATTTCCTCTACCACTGTCTTCCTGCACTCTCTTCACTTTTTGAGCAATTAATATAGTGCTTTGCTTTGCTCTTCATGAACGTTTCCACACATTTCGAAATGTTTTACTACGTGCTTAGCGGACGTTTACGTCTCTTTTTGCGTGTTCGTTACTCATAGTTGTAGGATTTTGTACTAACGTATTGTTTTCTGGACACAATTTTAGCATATTGTTTGGCATTTATAATCTTACAAAAGTTTTCTTCTTTTTTTGATAGTAAAAGCATAAAATGACGTGGTGACCGTCTGAAGCTCTTACTGATCTTTCCTAATTATTCGGTGCTAATTACCTAAAATAGATTTGGTCATGTCGGGTTATTGGAAAATTAAACGTATGTGTAAATAATTATATTTCATACAAACATTATTCAATGCTAATTATATGAAAGCATATCTTTGTCCATTAACAAATAATTTTCTTATATATATTTCACGTGATGTTGTAATGCCTGTAAGGATGAACGTGATCGATGAGGATGCTTGTAGTGTTAAATCGACAGAACCATATGCCTGCAATGATTTCATATTACATATGATATTGATTTTTAAGATAGAATGAATAATCGATTAATCAAATATATTTGTATTAAAACAAATATTTGTAGGTGAGTATTGTTGAATAGACTACTTGATTTTTATTTTCAGAAATGTAAAGAAATTCTTTTAGTAAATGATATAACGATTGTAAATTGTGAAAAGTTGGAATAAGTAATTGTTGATGCTTTAGATTGAATGAATGATAATCGAGGAAATATATCTGTATTAAAATTCAATTTTATATATCTATAAAATTGAACTTCCAAAAACAAAATTAGAACTCCAGAAACAAAAATTAAGCGTCCTGAAAAGAACGCTTAATTTTCGCTTTCAGAATCATAAATGATTGAATGAATGAATAAGTGATTATTGCCTTAAGGATGTCACATGGATCGTTCCTGTTTACTATTTCATGATGTTTTATTTGGATTGATGACTTCATCACTTTCAAATCACAATCTTTTTCTTCAGCTTTAATTAAGTTAATATTTAATATTTTCCGTTTTGGAAACTTCGCTATTCAACCTCTTATAATTTTTGTCCTTTTAGAAATTTTGAAAAGCAGAAAATTTTTGTCCAATTTACATAATATTAAGTAGAAGGAGACATATTGTTGTGGAAAATATCATTAAATACTGATGTTGAGAACTCCAATAACCTATTTCAATTTTGATAAAAAAAAGGAAAGAGCTATGGAGAAAATTGATTAGCAATATCTGATAGTGTTACCATTTGACCATTTTGATAAGTCATGATCCTCTTCAACAATTTCTCTTTCCGGGATCGTTGACGAAACAATCTGATCTGTTGGAACCCTTAAGTTTTGTATTTAAACTCGAAAGATCAATGAATATAAATAATAAAACCTACAACAACAGTCATTCAATGAGTGAAACACATTAGCTAAAAGCATAACGATTTTCAGTTAAATTTGATCAATACACATGTATCCTAATCTATTTATGATGCTAGCAATTATAAATTATTTCATATTGGTATCGATGATTGGAATTGTTTCCTTTTATAGATTTCACATATAGTGTCAGTATCTTTTCAATCTTTGAAAATTTCCATTTTAAAGATTCTTAAAGCTTACCTTGTTTTTGTTAATTTTTCAGTCAATGATATCGATGACTGGCTAGACATTTGAATATTAGCATCTGAAGGATAGATTTGTGTGGCTTATTTGTCATAATATATGCTAATCTATTCTAAAAATTCATGAACTTTTCATTTTAATGAAAATCATTTTCGATATATGCATTTTTATGCATATCAATAATTTATTGTTAAATTTATAAAAAAATTTTAACCTGGTAGGGAACTAATAATAATTTTAGCATCATGATTTGGTTGTTTTCGAAATGATGCAAGCATTTCTTTAGTTGTTTCCGGATGATGTGCTATCTATTGTCAGAGTATATTATTTTCTACTGTAATACTTTTCTACTCAAAAATATCATATAAAAAAGCTGGAATTTAAATTTTATCTAGCAATTTGTTAACAAACACGATTTCTTTCTTATAGAAATAGTCTAAGAATGAAAATAAACTTCACGATATTAATTTACAGTTTAGGTGGACTAACAGGTAAATTGAATGCATTCATGATGTCCATAGTGCTTGCAGATTTGATGACAATTTCATTCTTTTCATTTTCATCTTCACTGTTTCCAGCACTCTTTAAACTATCACTTTCACATTGTGAAATGCTAAATGGACTTGACCAACCCTATAAATTTTCTCGGCATTTAAGTATTTATATTAATTTTTTATCATTCCAATAAAGGAATCTTAATGGTAATGATAGATATGAGTTGTAAGAAGAATTAACCATGAGGAAAGGAAAAAAAAAAGAAAGAAAGTTAGATTTTAGCTATTGACAATAAGAAGACCTCTGATGGATTGATTGTGGTATCGGAGTATGACATGGATAGAGTTTTTGGTTCTGTATTAAAACTCATTAATAAATAAACAGCTATGAACGAACGACCGCTTAATAGTATTTCAATGCATAAACTGTTAAAGTATTAAACTGTATACTTGTTTTCTAGAAAACATTTCACATTTAATGATGTAAAATGAAGGAAAAATTTTTTGAAACTTTCTTCTATGTGTTACTATTGTTGAATTATGAAAAAGTTTAAATTTAGAATATGTTTGCTAAAAATTATCTCAGATATATCTAAATATGCCGAAGTAACTAGAATATAAAATCAAAATATACCGAGCTGACCAAATGAAATGCAAACATTAAGGTATACGATAATTGAAATGTATTTTAATGTGGAATCAATATTATCATAAGCGGTATTAGAATATATCGCAAGGGTCATGGCTATATGGAATTAGAATGTATCGTTGATATTATAACGTTTTAATTTCTTTTAAACAATAAAACGATGTGGGATATGGAGGTAACAAAGTGACCTAAAGTATGGTTTCAATAGGCCAAAGCGCAATATGAACTATTTTAAAATTATGACTAATTGGAATTGGTAAAAGGGGAAGGTGGCAAGAATGCTTAATAATAGTTTACTTTAGCGGAACTTATTAATTGCACCAATAATTCCACTAATACTTCTTTTATGGATTTATTATTCTTATTATTTCCTTATGTATTTATTCCATTTAAAATGAATCTTTGCTAATCGATATACTATTTTCAGTTGAATGTTACAATTAGTAGCATTCTCATTCATCTAATATTACAACTGGTAGTATTCTCTTAAATTTAATCAAATTTTGAAAGGAAAAAAAAATCGAATTTTGTGACAGATCTTTATAAACATTGATCTTCCGGTGAATTAATTACATATGCGCAGTTAGCAATAAACTGATATAGTAATAATGTCATCACATAGATTTTGGACATCCAGCAGTTGGTGAGAATGCAAATATTAGATGTCAACTTCGCAAGGGTTACTTGAATCTTGAGCAGAACTTATGATAGACTTTTTGTTCAGGAAATGTATTTATAATGGATGACGTTGATCGTGACAAGGACGATGTGAATGGTAAGCGATCTATAATTAATGAAGAGGAATTAATTGTAGTACCTAGCAAACGATCAAAGGAAGAGGTGGAAAACCCTCCGAAAATGGAAGTTTCGAAGCATGAAGTAAATTATTTTCAGCATTTCGGGATATTTGTATAGTAAGGATTGAATTATTACTGTTATTTTTTGAGCTATAATGTAGTTAAAGTGGCTAAATTTGCTTCATATTTCATAATGCAGTAATATACGCGTATTAATATCAGAGAAGTTTGTTTTGCATTTAAAGAAATGAGAATATAAAAAGGATGAGTAAGAGCTTTTTATACCTATAGCGATTTATGCGGGTTTATGGTCATAAGACAAGATCTTCTTCTGTAATTACAGTGTCGTTAATGTGGGTTTTAGTGAAGGAGCTATTTGTTGAAAAAATTAGTCTTCTAGATAAGCTTATTGAATATCTTATTAGTGTTTATGATATTCTTCGTACTATTTATTAGAAATCATTGTCCGGAACAGAAGTTTCCAAAGCCCGACAACGTTGGAATTTGCTTTCATATCATATACGATGCAACTACAAAAAACAAGCCAGTGATATTGATGTGGAATCAACGTTTATGGTTTTTGAAGCATTTTCCATCCCAAAACATTCCAGCTCAGGTCGTTGGTATCACTTGAAATCTCCTGTTGGAGATGTCGAGCTTGATGTCCACATCTATTCAGTTGTTACCGTAACACCTAACACGTTGGCTGGCTTCAATAATAGTGGAAATATTAGAATATGGCCATCTGAAGAATGTTTGGCATATTATTTGTTAAAACATGAGCAACTAGTTCGAAATAAAACTGTCTTGGAACTTGGATGCGGTATGATTGGCTTAAGTGGTCTTACGTCGGCTGTGCTTGGTGCGACAGAAGTAGTTTTAACGGATGGTAATGAGAAGTCCGTAGAAAATATCCAGCAAATTATTGAAACAAATAAGCTAAACAGTCATGTAACCTGCTTTGTGCTACACTGGAACGCTGCCATATCGAAAAAACAGTTTGATGCTATTCTATGTGCTGATTGCTTATTTTTTACGGAAGAGCATAGTACTTTACTAAATTGCATCTCTAGACATTTGAAACCAGGTGGAATCGCATACGTCATGGCACCGGATAGAGGTGGTACTGTTAGAGCATTCTTGGATCTTATATATGAGGAACAAAAGCGATGGCAAAGTGTGAACATCAATTTCCATATCGAAAATGAAGAAGAAACTTACTCCAAACTGAAGATGCGGAATTGTAATGTACATTCAGAAATTCCAATGCTTTTAACTTTAAAGAAAAAGTGATTTAATCGCATGAAAATTAATTTGTTCATAATATTAAATTTCATTTGACGAAACTGGGTGAGTTTGTTTATCTATATAGTATTAGTGAATCCTTTGTTAAATGTTTAATGGATAATTGCTTCACTTGATTACTCAGTTTTTTCCTTCTGCGATATACATTGCATACTTTTACTATACCAATAGTGAAAGTATGCAATCCATTAACTGGAAATCAGCGTATAATTAACTATTTATTCGGTATTCAAAAGTCCAATATGATCTATTTGGCAATTTTATGTGTTTTATTATTAGTCTTCTTTACTGTATGGTTCTCCTTTCTTTATGATTTGGTTTTTTGTTCATTGTTGGATTATATAAATGTAAAACATTAAGTTAAGAATATTTATATTTAACAGTAATTCCAAACGTTTTCTTTACTTTATGCAAATAAATTCCATTTTTTTATAATCTGGATTACATTTCAGTTCCGTTCCATTACAGCCATATTTTTCGATCACATTTTAAATGTGAGATCCGTAAGTTAGATGATAGAATTCAGTTGTAATTCAATTTCATATTCATCAATTAATGGATAAATTAAATGAAGTTTAACTGGCACTATATGAGTCTTTTCTAGATCATGGGTGAGGTGAGAAGGTCACAGTGGCGAAGTTGATTTTAAAATGTTCATAATTTCTGTGTCCTTTTTTAGTACCAAGAAATCATCGATGCTGTCCATTATTCGTGCATGCTTATACAGGATGAGATTGTTGAAGAGTTTGAGAGAAAAGGTCAGAAAATGGAATTTGACAAAGAAGTGGTGGCGCAAGTCGCTTTTGCTATATGCGATACTCTATGTCTTACCTGGCCTAGTGAGCTTTTGCAATTTGCAAAGTAAGATTTCGTGGATTTTATACAATCTTCAAATCTCCAAATAGTCAATTGATTCAAGTATTATGAATTGTTACAGGCACGCGAAGCGTTCAGTCATTAACATGTCGGATCTGAAGCTTCTTTTCCGAAGAAATGAAAACATGGTTGATTTCTTTTTTTGAGAATCATAAATTTTTTTTTTTGTAATTTCATATCGTTTGTGTAATTTCCACGATTGATGCATTTCATACAATTTCAGCTTTCTCTTATCCGAAACATTTCTGAGAGCTCATTGCTTCCTGCTAGAAAAAGGCAATCTAGGAAGGGTACAAACAAAAAGAGTAGTAAAACAACAGACAGTATTGAAGAGATGAATAGTGAGAATTCGAAAGATACGGGTACTTTGCTTTATGAAAGTAAGGATACTCTAAAGTTGACGGATTTCTGGAACCAGTAAGTTATGGCTACGTAAGCTTGCGCTGATTTTGTGCAATTTATGAATTAATAAAAATTTTAGAAAGTCTTAATTTAAATATTAAAATTTTGGGAACATTGATAACGTTAAATCATGAGTATCTCGAATCTGATTACATTATTGAGTTTTTTTAACTCAACAATATTTGTTTTATTATCCAAAGTTCGAAAAATTTTTTACTTGCCTAGATACGGTTATCATAATGTAGAGCATGTCAGTTAGTCAAACATTGGGATATTTACAAGATCTAAAGTTTCAATTTTTTTTTTCATTTTTTCAGTTTCAATTTTACAGACCTTCAACTAGTCGAGGACGATCATTATTGTCTGGGACATCTAAATATATTTCAGTAACATCGGAAGAGAAATTTCTGTTTAATTCTGAATCTTTGCAAAGCAAGCAGGTAGCTGCGAAAAAGAAAGATAAGCTATCCTGTTGCAAGCAAAAAGCAGATATAGCTGAACCGAGAAAAACAGATAATAGAAAGGAAAGACAAAATCATACTAAACAGTGGTTAAAGCCAACCTTTCATCTAAATGGTTTTGAATTGGTTGAAAAGCAGGAGCTGGAATCTTTAGATATTAATATTCCATGTTATTCGGGCAAAGATTTACACGCGCAAAGATCGGAAAGCGTTACTTGTTCCTGGAGTAAAAGTAGTCGAGAGAAGCGCGGAATAAATCCAAAAAAAGAGTTCGATATATCCATCGACACAACAGATCTGTGCAATGCAGTAGAAGTGGATGCAAAAAATCCAGTCATTTCAAACTTGGAATTAGGCAATGAAATTAAAAGTTCGACTATAGCAGTTACCAGTCACAAATCCGATATACGAGCAAATGAAACTGAATGGAACAAGACGGAATCCCGAATTGGGAGTGTGCCAGATGAAAGGCGTATTGTTGCTGTTGAAACTCCTGTGTTGAGCTCGAAAAGAATAAATATGAGGCAGTTTACGGATACGTCTTTTAGATCCAGCGTTGCAGATGACTGTAAGCGTTTCATATAGACTTTTTGTGCTGATTTTTAAATATTAACTTTATGTTATTTCAAAATTTCCTGGTGCAGCAGAATATTTTGCTTTTTTTTCAGGCTTTTCTTCTTTCAAATTTGAATCAGATGAAGATTCGGACCAGGGTCCTTCACTAATAGAAAATAAAGGTAAACTGATATCCAGCATACTTTTTTCTGTTCCTGTGGGGTTTTATCGATTCTAATGCTACTGGGGAACTGAATTAGAATAATTTCCAACATTGATAAACGCAAAGCAAATTTTATATGTCAAGTATTGCTTTAATTCAGTTAAGATTTATCAATTGTGGATTGCTTTGTGTTTCTATAAGAGAGTCATAACTTAATTTTTTTGCTCCATTTTTTTTTTTTTTTTTCAGTTACAAGTGCTAATGCAAAATCATCGCCAAGCAGTAGAAATAGGCAAGTCTTCGGTTTCTTATATCGAGACGTTACTCCTTTTTAAAGCTTCATTTCGTTTTTTTTTGAAACAGTTACAATATTTCTAGGTGCATTGCTAGTAAATGTGCTTCAACAAATAATAAGGACGAACATCAAATCACTAGTAGTGGAGAAAGTGATACTGATTTGGATGCAACTGTCTTTGATTTTTAATTACGTAGTTTCGGCTATTGTCATGTTGGTACTTATAGCTATGTTTATTTATAGCTGGCTGTTTAGTGTTTAGTATTTATAGCTGTAGAGAATTTAAAAAAAAAAAAAAAAATAGAATTGAAGTATCTCTAATATATTTATTTCTGTGCTTAGGATATGTATTTTTTTGGATTTAAGAAAGCAATTTTTATCCACTGGCCGATATATTCTGAATTTTTATTTGTAATGGAATTAATAAAACCTTCTCAAATCTGAAATTTCTTAATGTGTTGCCTTAAAAATTTTCAACATGTTGCTTCTCATTTACTTTTACATTATAACGAAGAAAATCAAAGAACGCCGCTCAAAATTTTCTATTTGAAATACATATTTTCCAAGTCATATTTCGATGACTTCTCAAGAAAGCCAAGGTTCGTTCAGGGTTCGGAACTAATCCATATTTAAATATTTCATTGAATTGTTACGACCAGTTAATCCGTGCTAACTAACAAAACGAACCCGACCTGATTTATGTAGCCCTAGCGATTCTTGCTGTGCTTTTTCTTTCTTACTCTCCGTTCTTTTTTTGTTTTTTGCTTCTTTGATTTTCATCCATTGGCTTTTGTCTTGTGTTCTTTATCCGCTTTGTTCTCTTTTTTTGTCTGCTTTTAATTTTTAGTCTATCCATTGTTCTTTGTTTTTTAACCTTTATTATCTTTTAGCTGCTATTCCTTGCTTTCTTAATTCATTACCACATTGTCTATACATTGTGCGTTTTGTTCTTTGTCCCATACCGTTGCTTTCCCATTATTTGTTGTTCTTTATTCCCTGCTCTGTTCTTCGCGCCTTATTTTCACGTGCGTTCATTATTTCTTGCTCTTTGTTTTTCATCCTGTTTTCGTTTCCTTTCATGTTCTTTGTCTCTCGATCGTTGTTCTTCATTCCTTGCTTCTCACTTTTTCCTAGCTTTTTGTTCCTTACTCTATTCATATTGCCAATTCTTTCCTCCTTATTCTCTATTCTTTGTTCTCTTTTCTTTGCTTTTTTGATTATTTCTTCCAAACAGAAAGAAAGTTTTCATGTTATTACGTTAATATATAGATATTTCAGTGGTTCGGAATATGGAATGGCATAATGATCAAACAAATTTAATAAACCAGATGGAATTTTTTCATCTTAATAATAATAATAATTTTTTTTCCTTTGAATTCTCATTAAAAATGATGTTTTTAAAATTATTTCTATAAATCATGCAGTTCATGCATGTTACTGTTTCATGTGCTGTGATTATGCATGACGTTATATCCGTGAAGATATTGCAATAAGATTGCTAATAATGCATTTACTTTCCTTGCTTTGCTTTTAATTGTTAATTGTTTTAAATTTTCAAAAAGCTTTTATAGGAAGTAATACAACGACTGCTCACTTAATTTTTTGCATATTTTACATGACGTTTACTCAATTGAGTGAACGATTATATCTCAGTTTATTGCGTATAAAATATGAAATGATTAGAATGTGATGCGATATTCTCGAAAATTATCACACATTAGGTTACGATTACACATCTAATAAAACATCAAATATCGATTTAAATGATTTATCTTCAAGTACTTTAGCATATCTGATATCAAATTACGCACGCAAATTAAGTGTAAGCATCTTGTTAAGATTAAAACTGAGCATTTGATTTTGGTAAGTTTGCAAAATTAAAATAACGAACTTTGTTATGGAAATTATTCAGAAGATAGAATAAGTTCATCTTCATTTGAATAATGAGAAAACAGAATAATTGTTTTTGTTTCATAACTAACGTTCTACTATCAAGTGCCTAATTTTTGCAATAATTGTTCGGTATCTAAAGTCCATAATCGTGATAATTGTATAAATTTGTGGTTCTGCTCTAGTAAAGACTTCTTATATCAGCGCAGTTTGTTATTCCGTATCCTTGTCTACAGTTTCTGTCTCTTTAAAGAAAAAAGATTTTTCTGTCTTAATGTCACGAAAATATTCCTTTGGAGCATAAACCATACTAAATCGCTTCATTACTTACCATCGGTATCCTTTGATCATATTGCAAATGTATCCTATGCTAGCAGCATGACTAAGGGTACTTTAATACTTAAAGAAACAAATCTAACACATAGAATTCATGGTTATATTGAATCTGATTCTGAACTGATCAATATGCACATAAAAATGCAGATAAAATAGTTTATGGTATAAATTTCCGGTATCCATGTCAGAATTAACTGTTATTTGTTATTGCCCTTGTGATGTCTTATAGAAATAATTGTTAAGAATTTTGCTAAAAATGTTAATTTTGATGCTGGAAAGAAAAAGTTTGATTAAATTGATGCAGTAGTGATAAAATAATAATATAAACAAAACTAGTAAGAGGTAAAATGATAGTTGTTTTCATTTACCTGCTATCCTCTTTCCATTTCATCTTTCTCAATGTCTAATTTCAAAAATTTTCCACAAAGATCGAATAGTAAATTTCTCTTCTGTAGTACATCACTCCTACCTTGCCCCAGTTCAGTTATTGACATGCTCTTTTGGCATGGATTGTCGGAAAACCGAAAAAATTTTTATTACACACTAACTGTTCAGAATAATGCTAATGATTCATTACTATAAACTAATTCGTTATTCCTTTGTTATATTCCACTTTTTTGAAACAACGAATCCTTTATGTAAACCTCAAATAGTACAGCCAGCCCATTTCCTACATCCTTAAAAATCTTCTCTAATCAGTTAATAAAAAAAGAAAAAATCGGTGACAGTCTTCTCAGCCTATTACTCAATTCTAGTACCATTCATTCCTTCGCTGTCTCGATTATTCAACTATATATTGCGTCAATTCACATTTGGAAAGAAAATAAATGATATCGGGTCGATCTTGCTCACAGACAAGAAGCAAAGGTTTTAAATTCAAGATATGGATGGTCACAGCTATCACCGTCATTAAAATTAATTTTAGAAGATTGTTAAGTTTTCGTTTAATCTTATTCTGCTAGCAGTGATACGTTGCATTTCACAATAAAAGTATTGACCTATTTACTTTGTGATGGATTGACAAACAATATTATTAATAAATTTTACAAATTATTTGGAATTTTTTTTTAGAAGAATTTAAAATCCTCATGCAAAAAATTTCATCTTTTCGAATATTCAAAATTTGTATTTGTACTAAAAGTCTTTGTTTAAAAAGAAAAAGAAAACTTCCAATAAAGTAATAAAAATGGAAAATTTTCGGTCAACAATAGCAACAAGCATATAAAAAACGTAAATTTTCAACGGAAAATTGAATAACTACAAAAATGTTTGACAATCCTATACTTCCACATTATCTTTTTCAAAAAAATATATGGAATTATTTGAAACGATACAACAAATATCATTGATAGATGAAAACAAGTTTTGCTTGACTTTTTCAAAACTTGCATCATTTTCGTTTTCTGTTGTTGTGATTGACACATCTCTTGCGTCAATCATTTTCAACAATGTAAAGCAACTGCTGCTTCTTTCTTCTCTTTCTCAATTAACTTTATAATTTCGAATTAGCATCATCTATGTTATATTATGTCTATTGACCCATTTGATTGATTGGAGCATCAAATGGATTTATTCATTTTTGATTTTAGATTATATCCTATAAAGGATGTTTTTTTCTTGCCACATATTATTCCTATTTTGATGCAAAATCATTGCCAAAAATTCCAAGTATGAAAAATTTGTGAATAATGATTTTTCAAATAATTTAAATAAAAAGAAAAGAAATCTTCTAAATTTTAATTTTATACCGATTTTATATCGTCATTGAAGTATTTTAAAATATGTTTTTTTTGAGAAGCAATAAAACAAAAGATAAATGATTGTTTTGGGTATTTGTAAATCATAATTGATATTCGTCTAATCCGACTATATAATTGAATGATTAATAATAAATGGATAAAATTGAAATTGTCATCTCCCATTGTCATCTACTATCATATTTTACATCAAAAAATTAGCTTTTTTCCAGATGTTTGTTCAACTATTACAATTTATCATTATTATTTATTATATAGCAGAAGCACGCATTCCTCCTACAATCCTCTCCAAATTGAAAAAACAATATGATATGAAAGATTATCATGATAATATTCAAAAAAGTATCACAGCTTTTGTTACATTTCAAAATTATAATTGCCCGAAAAAAATTGATTCAGCTACTGAAGGTAAAGAAATCGGAAATTTTTTGCACAACAATAATATTTCTTAATTTCTATAAGTTTAAAAATGTGCAGATAATCATATCGGATTGTTGGCTAATATTAAAGTGTAATGAGTGGGACCAAAAATTTCTTAATTTTTTAAGAACAAAGTATGCCACAAGTTGGATAAAGTAGTTTTAGAATGGAAGGAATCATTTCACTTTTTACTTTTCTGTTAAAAAGGGATTCGTTTTTCTCGAAAAGTCCTTCTAATAAGTGAAGCAGAAGTTGATATTATCAATGTCATTTTATTGCTATCTAAAGGATTCGTATTATGCCGGTGCTACGTTGATTTATCACATTTTGATGGTATAACTTTAAACAATTTTCCAGTCACTGCCCACCAATAAAGTTTGCATTTGAATTATTCATTTCTCCGTCTCCTTTCTTTAATAATTCAGTTTATTTATAGCATTTGGTAAGTTATACTTATTTTCGAATGATAAAGTTTGGATTTTTAAGAATCGAAAACCCGAAATGGTAACTTATATCAGTAAGGTTAGTTTTATGCTAATAGAAAGAGGCATTACAAATTTAAATTGATAAATATGAAATACTGTTATCACTTTATAAGAAATGATCTATATAGATATATCTTTCTGACTGATTTTCAGATATTTCGTGGTGGACCACATTATGTTAATGCATCTGTTTCGACGAAACATCAAACTTATCTCATAGCAGATCGAAATGTTTTTGCATTTTATAAAGATAAAAACACTTTCACGTAATTCCTTAAAAAACAGCTCAAAATATTCGAGAAACACGAAACATTAATGATAATATAAATTTAATCAGATTAAACGATCTCACAAAGAGAAATTTCGTTCTTTCAGTTTAATAAAAGGATGGCCAAAAATGCTCCCAAATCGTGTCTTGTTCTTTCCACAAGCTGCATTTCCCGTTAAGAACGAAAGTGCTGTACTTGTTTCGGTAAGTTATAAATTGGTATTGCGAAAGAATAATTGTTAGATTATTAGAGACGTCATAATTCTCAGCTGAAAATGTGGAAGGAACAAAATAAGGTGGCACTGCCTTAATTCAATTTCGAATTTAAAAACAAATTGGAGAATTTCAATCTTCCATATAGGGAAAATTTTAATGATTATTGATTACCTATTTTTAATTTATATTTCTTTAACTTACATTTCAAAGTACTCTCAGGGAAATGTATTAGCGGCGTACGAATTGAAACACAACAGGGTGACATCAATTAATGACCTGGAAAGATGTTATCCAAATTTACCTGAAGATTTTCGAACCGGTATACCATTTCCAACGGGACAATTTAACGCATATTATTTTTTAGACTCGCATAATTTATATGAGTATAACATGAACACCAAAAGAATCATATTTTCACAACCACTTAAAAAATATCTTTTGTGCTGAAACAGATTGAAATCTCAAGAAAAAAAATTTTTTAAATTGTTCTGTAACAGCGTATGTTTCATCTAACTAAACGATAATCCACATATTAACCTAAAGTATGAAAATTTTTGATGCCAGATACATAATATTTCCTTCAAATTAAAATAGACCTCTCCTCGTTAATTAAATTCAGTATTAAAGGGGTTATGTCGTTTGGTGAAAAAGTAAAATTTCGAAACTTCCCTTTTCTATGTAAATAGTTTAGTGTATTTACATAAAAACTAAAAAGTTTAGATGAGATGAACAAATGTATTTTTGATGTGAAGAAGAGAAGTATATATAGTCATTTTATTATTCCATTATTGACGCCACAATTTCAACAATTTATCTCTTCCACCGCTAGCTACTCGAGTACCATCTGGACTCCAATCTACGGCATAAACTTCATCACCATGTCCGGGAAGATCCATACAGAGACCACGCTTATGCATGTCCCATACCTGAACAGCCAATTTGCTTTGTTACTTACTACCTATTGTCTATTGTAACGTATATAGTTTATTAGATCCGATTAACAAAGACAGTGCAACCGGAAAAGTGTAAAAATATCTCTACCCTAAACAGTAATGATACGAAATATCATTAAAAACTACTAAAATTAATCAAATGTTAACCTCAATACTCGCACAGCACTTAATTTTTATTATCTTTATTTTAACCAAATATTAACCATACAGTCGACTTTTTAGCTCTCGTTCTCGATGTAAACTTCTTATGGTTGTCATAGGCATGCTTGAGGTATAAACAGTGATAAATTCCACTGGAAAGGCTTACTGTATAGCATCCATGGTAATGGGTGATATACAGGTGAAACTTATGAAATTTACACTGATGAAGTGAGTCATTAACTTACTTTCAACGTTGAATCTGCTGAACCGGAAACTAGCAATCGACTGTCAGCCGACCAGGCTATTTGATAAACTGCTTGAACATGTCCTCGCAATGTATCGAGAAAAGTTCCTGTTCGTCCACACCACAATTTGATTGATTTATCAAATGATGCTGATGCAATATATCGTGCATTTGGAGAAAACATTACCTGAAAAAAGAGCTTCTGCACTTTGAGATAGTGAGAAGATCCCTACGAACAAAAAATGAAAGTTGCGCTGAGTTGATGGTCACATATTTCTGACTTTTGAATTTTTGGTGCTAATTATAAGATAATGGACACTTCTGTCATCTGAATGAACTATTCCTTTTGCTCTTTTTTCCCATTCCTTCATCTATTTTCAATTCTCACTTCATCTTCAATTCTGCTTTTAATTCCTTTCAAATTTATTGTATTAATTTCACCTGGTTCACGAGCTGCTGATGACCAGTCATACGCATACGAGGTTTCTTTTCATCCGTTGGTTTCCAGAAAAACAACGTAAAATCATCAGATCCAGAAACTAGTAATTCACCACATGTGCTTTTAGCTTTCTCATACCGATGTAAAGCATATTTTTGACGTGTTGGCTAGAAGAAATCAGTGAACATGATTTTTATTCAAACATCCCATTTCACTGCTCAACCATGCCAGAATGACTTGACTCAAAATTAAAGTCTAGAATATCAATAACAGTCATCACCTTTTGTGATTTCTATTCTTTGAAATCTAAAGACAATTAACAGTTCTTATTTTAAAGACCGAATAAATAAATAAACAAAAGATTCCTTCTGCAATAAAAACTATTATTTATTTCAGTTTATAACTCTCAAATTTTATCCGTCACTGTTGCATAATACTATTTCTTTTTACCAACCATATCATCATCTAACACCGTAGATTGTTCCAGAGCATTGTAAAAGCTTGTACGTAAAGCGTATTCCACATTTAAAGCCAAAGTATTGACCCAGTGGGCATGACCAACTAAAGTTCGACACAAGATACCATCCTCTGAGCGCCATACTTTAATTGTACGGTCCTGGAATAGACTGATTTCAATAAAAAATAACTCTATTTGTTTACGATAAGATTTTATATTGATAACGAAGCAAAAATTCAAATACAAATAATTAAGAAAACTCCTTACAACCTTGTAAATCACTTCATAATAATTCCTCACTAAATATTCCTTATCCTTTTGACACTTACCTGAGAACCAGTATAAATAAGTCCTTGTCCACCCCACTTCACACATGTTACCGATGCTGTATGTCCTGTCAAACATCGAACCATTTCACATTTCATGGTATCCCAAATCCTGACTTCACCATCTTTTCCAGCACTTGCCAAATGTCTTTAAAATAATATGAATCTTAAAAAGAACAAAGTTAGGAATAAATAAGGAATCAGAAACTTCTCGAAAATCAAATTCTTATTTCCTGAAAATCTGCGAAACACATATAATCACCTGCAATATGGATTTCTATGATAGGGTTCCCAGACAAGTTGATTTATCCACTGTTTGTGACTGGTCATTTTTTTGCCAATCTGCATCCCAGTTTTTGGATCCCACAAACATATCTTAACATGTTTCCATTATTTATATATATATATATATATATATTTATATATATATATATATATATATATATATATGCAGAGAGAGAAAAAAAGATAATAAACGTCAGGGATGCTAAAACTCTAGAGATAAAAGTTTATTAAAGCGTATTTCTGAAAGACATACGTGTCCATTTTTGCAAGCCGAAGCAAGCTTCTTACCATCTGGTGACCAAGCGATACATAGTACCCAATTTGTATGCCCTTTAGCAGTATGCAACGGTGTTTCTGTATTCAAATCCCAGAAGCGTACAGTTGCATCACCGGACCCACTAGCAAGCTCCCTGAAAAACCCATAGAAACTGCATAATGCAGACTAAAAAACTGATGTATAAGCTATTACAGCATCTCTGAGATGGAAAAAAATTTTTCAGCAAGAACCTTCCATTTGGGCTAAACTGCACACTAATCACCGGCTCACCATGTCCAGGAAGTGAGGAGGTACATCGGGTCACTGGTCTCACACGGAATACAGCTTCTGGATAATACAGCAGTTCAATGCTCTGAAATTTCGCTAAACATTACTTTTAAAAAAATGAAATGATATTTGTTTTATTTTTTTAATCCCTATCTTAGATTTATTCAATTCTAGAGCACCTTTATTATTCATGTTCTTTAAAGAGATAATGTTAGATAATTGAGAAACGGTTCATTCAATCAATATAAAAAAGTCATTTTTTTTGAAATCTATAAGAGCTCAATACATTTGAGTAGAATCTCCTATGAAAGTTCTACAACAAGGTACCTTTTCTACGTCAATTTTTTGTTGCGGTATTGAGCTCTTCAAAGAATCTTTAATCAAAATGCCATCTCTCGTTCCAAATGTTATTGGAATTGGATCATCTGAGCTGTCCAATAGTTGATTGCACAAAACCTATAACAAAATATACATGTGATTTAATCATTATTCCTTTTTCAAAGGCCGCAGATTAGATGTGATGAATGAAAGGTTTTCAAGTTTTTTCTGAAAAATTAAATCACCTGCAGTTGTGCGGGAGTTGTGGAGAGAGGGAGCACAATCGCAGCTTCACTGAGTTCCTGTTCATCTTCTGAGAAAATTCGCACACTGACACTGCGATCACTCTCGTCAACGGAATTATGAATTTCCATTACTGAAAAACCAACTGCTAAATCTGCAGTTTTATTTTTCCGCTTATTTTCTTTTTGGTACCTTGATCTTCCTCTACATTCACTTCTACATATTTGTCTAGTTTATCCTTGGACAAATCAAAGAAACATTAAAATCTCGTTTGTTCAAAACCAAGCAATTTCATTCACAGGGTGTATAGCCATTATTTATTTAAATTTATGGAATAACAACTAGAACAAAGCAAAAGAAATGAAAAATCAATCATCCATATCATCTTCTTCTAACTTCGTTTTAGCCCATGCTTCCGCTTCTTTTACTATCTAAAATCAACAATGATCAGTACAAACTACATATGGGATATACAATGAATAACTTTTCTATTCCGGCTTAAATAAGCTGACACATTCATAAATGATAATGACAAAATTAAAAAGTCGGATTATTAAACAGTGGTAAAGATTTTTATTCAGCAACAATCAACTAAATTAAAGGTTACAAAATATAGCCTTTTGCATGCAACTGCTTAAAGTTAGAAAAAATAATTAGAGAAGTTAATGACAAAAAAATTTTTTTCGTAAATGTTTGGCAAAACAAAACCAACATCTTTCGGAACAATCTCATGTTTTCCACCAGTAATTTCGCCTACCCAACCCATTTCCACCTGTAAATTCTTGTCTTTTGCTTCATCTCGCACCATCAAAATTATTCGTGCTGCTTCTGAAACAGAAGATTAATCCATCAAGTTCTACGAACTGTGTCAAAATAAGTAGATCTAAATTTGATGGAGAAATTCAATAAAAAACTGTATATACCATTAACCAACTGCTGCATCGGAATATCTTCAAATTTCAGCTTCTCGATTTCTGTTTTAGCTGCCTGACGATGCTTACCAATTGCCCATGCTTTGTACTCATAACACAGACCTGAAGGCTCCAACAAGAATAACTGAGAACCATTCTGAAAAATTCAACTTTTTACTATTTTGCATTAAATTTTAATTGCTCACATAACTGTTAATAGTTCACTTTAAATTACTAGCAATTCACTTTTTCCCAGTAATTTTTAGCAGTACTGAGTTTTGCGTAACAGCATGAAGAACACTCGCATTTTTCAATTGAAAAATGAAACACCTGCCTTTTTATCCCAAGCAGTCAAGAATATTGAAGCCCCAAAGGGCCTACTAATACCAAGCGTATATACATGAACATATTCGGCTAACTGAAAATCCGTTTAGATTACATAAAAATGAAAGCAATTTCATAAGAATACTACTGAACATAAGTTTACTGAAAAGAATATAAAATGAGGAAAGGATAAAATTTCTGCTTTTGTATTTCAACCCATAAAGTAAATTTTTAATTCCACAAAATAAATTTAACAGAAAACAATAAAAATAGTATGTTCAATGGACAAGCTATTTGCATACTACGAGTAACTTGAAAAGCTTTCTGACAACGTATCAAATAATATCCAAAATTTAGAATATAAATATCTACAGGGCAAAATGGATCTTAATGTTTTTCAATTTAAACTATCTTTATAAATATGTTTCAGCAATGCTGTACTTTGTAAAAATAAAAAGAATAAATCTACCTGATTTGCAAGCTTTTTGATAGGAATTGGTGCTCGATATTCTTTCAGATAATTGAGTGCCTCACTTACTGCATAATCTAGAAGTGCTCTACAATCTGGATATATGCCTGCCATCGCACAGCCGATATATTCGCCTGCATTTGCCATTCTTGGGTTCGCATTCTAAAATAACGTTAAGGTTTGCTGCTAACCAAAATAGAAATTATATCCATTTGCACAAAGTCATCAAAAAAATTTTGTGGCGAGAAAAAATTTCTGATTGTAACGCACGAAAGTGCGTTACAGTAGTAATGGCAGGATATTCTTTGACTTACACTCCTTTGACTTTTGACTTAATATCATACATGGAACTACCATAGTAAAGATTTAGGTTTGATGTTTTTTTTCTACAGTGCCGATAAGCTGCTGTCTAGTGCCACTAAGAGTGATAACAAAATAATTTGAATGAATTGAATAATACTTCTACATGAGCGATAACTGAGTGAAAAGAATAATACTTCTACATATAATTTCGAGGTAATTAGCTTATCAACTGCTGTAACGACGCCATCTTTTCCTCGTATAGCGATCATGGTACCACCATTATCAACAGCTTTTTGGGCATATTCAACTGAAAAAAAAAAAAAAAAAACTGGTTAAGGAAAAATACACTTAAACAAAGAAAAGAGAGAAAAAAGTCAAATTTTCAATAGGTATTCTAGATTTCAATCACGAAACCCCAGTATCAAGGTAAAGTTAAATGCTGGTACGATAATTCAGTTAATTTTTCCTGAAAAAATCATTATTGCAATAAATTACAGTTATTTCAAATAGAATTAATTCATTACGATCAAACGACTATCATCAGCAAAATTATCTAGTTCCAGTTAAAACATTATGGTTACCAAAAACGATTAATTTATTTCGATAATTCATTATGATTATTTCTATTCAAACTGTCACCATCTTTTTTCATTTTAATGTGATAATTAATTTAACACTATGATATTAAAAATGGAAAAATGATGATAATAGAAAATGATGTACCCTGGAAAATACGTCCATCCGGTGAGAATGTTGCAGCAGCGAGATCGTATCCAGTGCCAATCGAACTCATCTGTAAGAATATCTTATATACTAAAAATATTATTACTCGCCATTTTCTATATGACTAACTAATAAAACACGCCATTCATTAATTCATCTCACGTACGTCTATTCACTAAGCGTACGTTGAAATATTGCACCATCACTAGGCAGAATAGCTTCTCAGGGTGTCAGAATTTAACAGTTATCCCATTGTGCAACATCTTACGTAGCTCCTTGTTACTTGTACTATGTATTTGTTTTCTTAGATACACTTTATTTTGTTTACTTAATGGTTTATTCATTTATTCGTCTGCTTTTTTACGCCCATTTGCCTTTTTATCCTATTTCTTTTTCCATAACATGCTTTCATTATACGTATTTATTAGATATTTTCAAATTATTACATTCGTGTTATGCATTTCATTCATTTGCCTAAGTTAATTATAACTTAATTACTTTTTTTTTTTTTCATGTTTGCATACTCACTTACCTACCCTTTATTAGATAAATATTTCGGGGGATTTTTTTTTCGAAAAAATAAATTTTGTGAAACTTCGTACTACCATTGATTTGTTTTTCAATTTGAATAACTATTAAAATTTGTTTTCTTTCTAAACAAGTCCTAGCTGAAAACTAAATTTAATTTGAAAAATTTGAAGTTTCATTGGATTTCAGAATCTCTGAATGTATTGAGAAAGATGTAAAACCAATAGCAATAAAATGCAAGACTGGTGAAGATATACGAAACTTACAATGGGTGATCTTGTACGTGATGCGTTACGTGCCGTAAGTATTTATTTTGCATCACTGGTCGACCATTTCCCAATTTTATAGTCCTAAGAATTTGAGATTCAGCTCTCAAAACTGTCACATGTATTGAAATCGTTATTAGATGTCATTTCATAGTTTTTTTCTGACATTTCTGATATAATTCATCAACAATTTATTAGCGCTTTATTGATTAGAACGCATTAGATGGCAAAGACTGCAAATATAATACTGTTTATATTGTTGTCATGTTAAATAATATTACAATTTCTTTTAGTGTAAATTGTTACAGACGGGTATCGATGAGGAAGTGGAACAACTAATTGCGAATGCCATAGTTCAAAGTTTGAGTGAGAATCGTTCAAAAAATGCAATTAGTCAACCATCAACGGAACGGAAACTAAGGGACAAAGCCAATGTTAGAAATATTTATGTCAGTAGGATTAAAATATGGTGTGAAATATGTTCGGAGAATTCCTGCTTATTCAGCTGTTTTTTGCTAAATATTATAGATATTTTTAGTTGACTTTCACCTTTTCTCATAATTTCAGCGGCCAAACTTAGCCAGAGTTCGAGTCATAGCCGAACATTTGTGGAGGCGCTTGGAACAGATCTATGACGTCAAATTACAAACTTGGAAACGGAATGAGGAAAAAGTAATGGAAGAAATGATAATGAGGCTTCGACATGAATACAGAGAAAGTCTTTTATTAAAGCAAAAACAAGTTTGTTTATTTTCTTATATATATGAAGTTTGTTCGTATGTATGCAAAAACATTCGTTGATATTGTTTTAAAAAAAAGTAAAATTCTTTTACTTAAATTGATGATCTTTGCGTGAAGAATAAAAAATGCTGCTTCAAATGGTGAGACTTTTAGTTGGATGAATTGGCAGGGCGTAAAGATATTGAATATAAGAATAAAGAAGATTTCCTACGGGAGGATATTCGAGTGACTTTTGAGGTATTCAACTTTTTATCTTTTCTTTGCAATTAAACACTTATCAGTTCCAGTCAGTAATATTTCTTATTTTCTGAACAAAAAACTGGAATGTGAAAGAGCTTGGCGAGAAATCGAAATGGCGCAGAAAGAGTTACGATTTCAAAGGGAGTTATTGGAGAATGCTCGAGCGAATTTTCAATCGTAAGTTTGTGATCATTATTATAGCTTGCCTAATAGTTAAAGAAAGAAGCTATGAATGAGGAAATTGCATATTGCGGAATTAATAATTTATTATAAAGTAAGCATTTTTTTTTTCTTTTTGTATAATTTGAGAGTTGGACATCGCAGAAAAGTTTAGAAAGGAATTTGTGGTTTAAAATAATATAGTTCAGGAAGAAAGACAACGAACTGTGTCTTATAGAAAAAGAAAGATGTTCACTGGAGCAAATTAAGGATGGTCTAAAGATTCATGAAAAGAATCTTGATCAAAGGCTGCAGGAAGCGATTAGAAAAGCACGCGAAAAGGATAGGACTCGAATAATGCAAATGGTATATTTGTTTCATTTTTACAATTCATGTTATCACATTAATTTTGAAGAATGTTAGTGCTGGAAAGGACTTTAGATTTCTGAATGGAATAAAAAAGAAGCGATATTGTCGAAGAAATATGAACTAGTTTGGGATAAAATATGTGAAATTTCCAATGGACAAGAATTTTCTGCCAAGGAAGCAGCATGCTTTAAAAAATTGCAAGTATGTCTTTTATTTAAATGTGCAAAACCTTTCAATGTTTAATACTATACTTTTGAAATACCTTTTTCGGAGAATTCTTTGCTGAATTTTTGTGTTGGGGCAAAACAAGGACAGTAAGCAAGGATAGAAGGGTCACAATAATCTAGAAACTAAGACCTATAATTGTGGATCATTTTCAGAAGAAATTTTTTGCAGGAAAAAGTAATCCAACAACAGAGGAAACTCACAGAAACTAACGAAGCTTTACATGATGCTTTAAATATGCAACAAAAGACTAATGAAGATTTGGAAAATGTTAAAAAAGAGAAGGAGAAGTTATCTGAAACGGTTCTTTAATACAAGCTTCATTCATATATTGAGTTCTCCATATGCAGTCGAAAGTTGTGTGACATTATTGAGTAAGAAATCACGGAATAAATTAATCTCGTCTGAATGTTGATATTTCAACATCTTAAAGGATCTTAACTTATTTTTTAGACCCTGGGATGTTTTCACTACATATATATCGTTTATCGTAATATACTGTTTTTCCTAGAAATCAGTTCATTAAGTCGATGTTAATTTAAATATGAACTATAAACATAGAAACATTTTTTGCAGTGTTATTTAATCATAATATCATTTTAAATCATTTCTCTTTGCAGATATTGAAAATAAATTTTAGAAATAAATTTATGCATGTTTCACGTATTATTTGCTTCAAATTTCAGAATCGAAAATTGATGGAAAAATTAGAAAGACGAAATGCAACAATTAACAGTTTAAAAAAACAATTAAAGTTACTGGAAGAATCGGCTGCCTTACGTATCAGTGAACTGAAGTTTCAACATAAGTTAGCTGTAAGCAATTATGCATATGCTTCTTAAATTATACTTGTTTTTTGAATATTTTAGGACTTTTCCGGTAGGAAAAAGTTGGATAGAAACAATTCATTTGTCTCTATTGTGTGTCTTGTTTCCTAAGCTGTAACTAACTGTGGTTTAAAAAGATGATTAAACATAACCAATTTACGACATTTAGCTGATAATTTGGAAGATTTGACTTAGTCGGTTCAGGAATTTTGGAAAACTATGGGATCTTTTTAGGTAGACAAACTACAAGCGCTCAGTAAACAACTGGATAAGTACCGCTTTAGTACATTCAAGAAATTTGATCGACCCAGTTCTCATCCTTCTACACCAGTATCAGCAAGGTTTTTTAGTTTAAATTCATTTCATAAAATAGACCTAATTCCAGTTAATCGTTATATCAATTTCTGTTTCAGGATGACAATGATCGATTCTATGTCTTCATCAACTCCTACGGAGTCATCATTTGAGCAGCACTTCCGTGATAGAATGAAAGTTTTGGATTGTACGAAGCAGGTAGGATTATTTACAAGTTAGAAATAATTTAAAATTCCAGGAAGGAGGACATTTTTTCTTGTAAAATTTAAGGAGCTGGACTTTGCACTGAATAAACTGCGTATAAGAAGCCAATCTCACCCTTTGGATCACATTCAGTCTATTTCTTTATCACATGCTGAAACCAATGAGCTTGAAAAGCCACAGTCCAGGAATTCATCAAATCATGAGGTTAAGATGCTTTCTTCTTTTAAAATTTCATGGAGCGTTTTCTCTTATTCTATATTTTATGCTATTCTCACATGTTTTTAAAGATTGTAATCTTTAAAAACAACTTTTAAGTCTATCGAATTACAGTTACTTCAAAGGGATCCTTCAGTTATCAAGACTAATTCTGCTGATGAAAAAATGGAAATGGAACAACATTTCGTGGTGCATTCAAGTCCGGAAAATATTGAGGTCGCAAAATATTTAACCTTTAATGGAATTCTCCACCACTTATTTCATTACTTTTCCGATTACTTTTTGCGTGATTCAGAATACGGAAGGTGTGACAAGTAATTCACCGGGAAAGCATACAGTTGATCCGCTCATGGTTCGGTATATGAAAATAATTCAAAGTCAAAGGGAAAAAGTGGAGCCGCTTCTTCAACAAACATCAAAGGAAGATGTAATAATTTGAAATTTGGGAAAAGTTCTAAAAATTAAAACCTATAAGACTTTCGTCTTTTAACAAAAAGACAATTGTTATGCGAACGAAATACGCAGATTAAAGAGAATCGGTAGTTAGTGCAGAATAAAAAGCAAAAATTTTTTTAGACTCAACTATCGGAAGAGTTGTTTGTTATTGAAACAGGTGAAAGACTCAATACATCCAGTACACCAAGTGATTTCGGATGGTAAATCAAATTACCAAACGAAAAAAAAATGTATATGTGCACAGACTCTTTGTGATCTTCTAGCCATTTTTTCTCTTGTCCCTTTTAATAATTTTAACATTTCTAAAATATGTGTTTCGAACTTATCATTTTGTTATAAGATTAAAAATTTGTGTAGTTGAATATTTTATTACCTCACTGTTCTGGTAATGTAGATGTAATCAAAGAGTAAAATGATTATAATTTGGCTGGAGCCTCTAAAACCTTATCAAAAATGACAGAAACAAGATTCTTCATTATTTGCTCCTCCTAACGAGATAATTTTCTGGTATAGTGAGACTTTTAATCCCAAAAGCAAAACTTATTTATTGCAGTTGGTTAACTACCACATTATTTGCCAATATACAATATACATTTGTGAAACATAAGGAGAAACCTAAATTTAAAATTTATAAATAAATCTTGGAAGAAAAAAAGCAACAAGAATCGAAGACATGTTATCTTACTACTTTCAAAACTAGATATAAATATTACATGTCACCAGGGTCTTGCTGGAGGTCCTAGATCTAAGAGTGCAGTACGCTGAGTGAATGATGGAGGTTCGAATTTATGCTCTGGCTGGATTGGTCTGCCAGTTTGAAATAAGTCCGAATGCTTCTCTCGCAGCTCCTGAAAATTAGGAATATAAAAACCAAAGAGAGTAAAAATCAGAGCTCATTATGAAGTCAATCAATATATAGCATGAAGCACTAGATTCAGATTCTATTCTGGTGAAGTTACAAAAATAATTGATATAGGCCATCAATATGATTAAGACTGAAATTTAAGGATTATTCTGGATTTATGATTGTTGATAATAATGCTGAATTGTAAAATATAATAACGAGCAATATAAGAGCTTCTATGTTTATGGAACATCAAACAATCGGAAGCAATATACCTGATCATCCCAGAAACGTTCGCGAGGATAGCTCCGTTCATTTCCTCGTAATGTTTCCCAGCCCTAAAATGTCACACTAAAAAAATGAATCGGATAAAATAAATGTTTATCTAGTACAGCACATCATGGATTTGTCTATTTCTTTAAAAATCAAGTAAAACTTACTCTAGCCTCGTACTTCCAATAATAATAGCTAACTTCGATGAGCACCCAAGCCATAAAGAGTTTTGGTACTACAGCTCGTATCATTGAACCATAAAATATACCCTAGAAGAATTTTTCAATTCAAAATATTCATAAAAGTTAAATAGCTCATAATCCAAAAATTATGAGATTTAAGTTTGATAGATTAGTTGTTATCCAGATAAGATATATGGCAAAAGCAAAATCTCGCAAAACAATACAGCAGTAGAAAACGCATTCATAAAATTCGGGATAATGCCGTGATAAGATCAGAACAAACTTACTGAGGAAAAGATGTGGAAAAAAATAAAAATCCATGAATTTATTTTGTAGCTTTTTAAAAAATAATACTTGAGTATCCATCGACTTCGAGAATACGCATTAGATATAATCAGAAATGACAGGAAAAATGCAACAAACAAAGTGTATAGGAATTAGAAGAATAATGATGTTGAAACTTACAAACGTTGGCTTTAAGAAATGCTTGTAAAGCTTATCCAATGGTGTACGATACAACATGCGAATGGGATTAAGCTGTCTGTGCACAGCATCAACATGGATTGGCTCATCTGGATGAAGATGTTGATCCAGAACCCATTTCCTGAAGTCAAATTTAATTTATCAAGTCTTGAATTTCTATTTCAAACAATAATTTAACATTTGAATTAAAAAATAAAGCTGAAACAGTTTAAATTATATTAAAAAGGATGGAATCCTTTTTCGTGCAGTTCAATCACCAGAACAACTTGGTATCTTTTTCCAGCTTCATCATGATGACTTGTTATTTTTCCTTTTAAGACTACATTAAGACTTGATTTCAAAATAATTCAAATTTTTGATTCTCAAATGGATGGGGAAAAAATAAGTACCTTACCTTCGCCATTCTCTTTCAGCAGGAGTAAGACCTGCTGCTCGCGCTCTTTCATCAGCCATATGTAATTCTAAACTCATTGGTTCATGTTTCAAATGTGGCACTTTATCGCTCTAAAATTCCGAATTTTAAAAGACTTTACATGAATAAGCTTAAAAACTTCACACAATTAAGTTTAAAAATCAATCCAAAAATCTAAATGAAAGTAGAACACAACCAAGAAGAGTTATAACCATCACATACAGTCGGTATTTTTGTCTTGTTTTTTTGAAAGAAGCAAATATGATAACCTAATTTGAAGACTTCACATAAATAAGTACAAAAATTTCTGTAAATGAATAACCAACTTATTAGTTCACACGAACACGACATGAAGTATTACAATTACAAGTTATGACTGTTTTTGCAATCAAAATACAACATTAGTTTAGTTTGAGTTTCATTAATTGAGTAAATTATATATGTCATGATAAAAGTTGCAATATAATATGTATACTTTACAAAGATACAAGTAATCCTGCATTTTTACTAAATAAGATTGTTACTAAATTACTAAAATTCTTACTTTTCTATCATTTTCTCTCCCAATAATTATCATATGTTTACAGAAAAAATGAAAAAGTTTCAAGATGATACCTTTTGGATAATCGATGGTGGTGGTAAGCCTGATCGCGTATACGGTGAATCACCCTTCTGACGAGTGTACGGTTCAATCTCGTCTTCGTTAACTGGCATCGGTTTGTGGTACTGATTACCCATTTTGTAATCAAACTGATCTGATCTAAAATTTCAGAAAAAGAGGAAGAATGTATAAAAAAATTTAAGGCTAAGCGGATCAGAAATGATAATATTCCAATATAATTTAAATTTACAATCAAAAACGCTTTGATATTCGGAAAAGTGCTAATTCTGTGAACCAAAAATGTACATAAAGATATGAATATCAAAAAGACCTAGAATCAATGAAGAAAAGATCTCCCAACAGTGAGAATTTGTATACTCTGAAAAATAATTCATAAAATTATAGCGAACACAAAGACATTTCGTTTTTAATAAATCCCCGATCTAAGTCAATTATGTCAAAAAAAGCAAAAAAAGAAAAAAACATTTTAAGTCAGTCGTATCAAAAAAAAAAAAAAACGTCAGTTTGGAGAATGATGCAATCTTGACGTTGACGTACACAAAAAAATTTGACGTCATATACATAGAAATTTAAATATAGTAATTCTTAACCAGTAAATTATGAGAACCTAAATAAGATCTTTGTCTTTCATCAATGCACTTAGAATGAGAGAAAAATTGATAAATTAGGCGAAAACACCTGTTAACCAACACGTGGGACGCAACTTTTCATAGTATTCACGTGTTGATTGTAATTTCGTGCACTTACCTCACCCAGCTAGTGAGTATCACTTCCCGTGGTCCCGGGTAATTCCGTGGTAATAGGTACTTATACGTGTATAGAGGTTAAAATGCATGGCAAACTGGTTATATACTTACTTGAATATATATATACTTACTTGAGTACGAAAGGCCTATTATCACTTATCGTTTTCTTGCTGGAATTTTCATTACCGTCATATTTGGTAGATACATTGAATGAAGAAAGTGTTTTCTGTACTAATTTTTTGCTAATGTTCTAAATGTACTAATTTTTTCAGTTGTCTCATCATATTTGTTAAGTGTTATTCCTTCTGTGTATGTGCATGGCGATAATCATATTGTACGAGTTTAAAATGATAAAATTTGCATTGAAGTCGAGAATGATTGAGATAGATTTGACTTTTTTTTAAATTGATCTCGAAATAATCTTTCGAGATCAATTTCAGTTATTTTTGAATGATTGTCGGTATTAAATGGATGCATATCGCTTCCTTGCTTCTTCAATGGAATTACGATATCTAAATTCTTGATTTCAGGATATTATCATTTTATTTTTAGTGTTTAATAATCGACATTTATAATTAGATGCCGGTCATCGGGATCAAGAAATCGGTCATCGATCGGTACATGGGCAGAGTGTATAGTAAATATTAGATTTTTTTTATTACATTCATTAAGTTTTGTTGCATTCCTGTCTCTGTTTTGTTAAACCTGTTGTTACTTAAAAAAAAAACTTTAGATAGAAAGAATGCTTGCAAAGATTTAACTGCATATAAATTTCTTTCATTACACGATAACACTGTCTCATATTTTTAGCTCAAAAGGAGTTCGAAGATTTGCTGTTCGATTATGGTTTAGAGCTTGATGAAGTGGTTCGTTTTTAGGGTTTGCTTTTTTGTAAATGGGATTAAATATTCGTTATCTTTCAATTTGAATAATGTAAAATATTTTGAATTTTTTTGGACTGTATAAAAAGTTTGTTACCTCTTGATTAGATGGCGCGATGGTTCTTGCTATTTGACATAGGTGACAGGATGCAGCCTCTTTCTTTTTAGTGGGCGAAAATTATTTGTTAAATTTTGGTAGAAATAAAATTATTAACTGTCATAGTGTTCGAAGGGCTTACGGTTTGCATTTCTTACATTTCGAGAGTGCCGTTGTTTTTTTTTCTTTTTTTTTTTTTTTTTTTTGAGATAAATTGTCAGTCGTACCTGTTACGACATTGCATCTCCAGTGAAGAATGCCCAGTAATGAGTCGATATGCTCTTTATTGTTCTTAGTGTTTACTGTATAATTATCTGGTTTGTAGACTAGCGAAAAAGCTGCCGCACAGAAAGAACAAAGTTTGACAAAGGACGAGGATTTAAGTAAATTATGTGACGAGGAAATATATAAGATAGAACTGCCAGCAAATCGTTATGATTTACTCTGTATTGAAGGTCTCTCGCGTGCTTTACGGATATTCAGAAACGAGTAAGTTAAAATATTACTATTAATTTCCAAGAACTACTGTGTTTAGGTGAATTTCGAAATTACATAACATGATAAAAACTGATATTGTGAAATTGAACTTTCTGCCTATTCATTTAATATTCATATAAATAGTTTTTCCTGAAGACCAGAATTTTTATTTCAGGATGGAGCCACCAATTTATCGGCGGTGGGGATCGTCTCACTATCGGCATCAGATAATTATCAAACCAGAAGTTCTGTCGATACGGCCGTATGTTGTAGGAGCTGTTTTAGTCGGTGTCAAATTAGATGCGGATTCTTATGCTTCACTAATTGATTTACAAGATAAATTGCATCAAAATATATGTCGAAAAAGGACTTTAGTAGCAATTGGTACTCATGATTTGGATACTGTGCAAGGTTTAATTTTCTTTCATTTTTTTTAGTTTCTTTTTAAAAACTTCTGCAAGTCATCTGATTTTCTTTGAACAGGATTGATATTCTATTTCAGGTCCTTTTTATTACGGAGCAGAGAAACCAGCTGATTTAAAGTTCAAACCGCTGAATCGAACAAAGGAGTATACAGCAAAAGAGATGATGGTTCTATACTCGGTAGAGATTTAATTTCCATATGACAGAATTATATTCCTGAAATGTTCTGAAATTCCCAGCAAATATTTCGATTCTTATATTCCAGAGTGCATATGTTATTATCGAAAAGGTTATGATGGCATCGAAACATTTATTTTAAAAAAAATAAAAAAGGAAGCCTATTCAAAAGTAATTCATGAACTGAGTTATTATTATTCATCTGTTGTTTTTGCAGGGGGATAGCCATTTGAAACCATATCTTCCGATTATTATCGATAAGGAGCGATATCCAGTAATTAGAGATAAAAATGGAATTGTATTATCTATGCCACCTATTATCAATGGTCTTATATATTTTTCCAATTAAATTGTCAGCTTTAGATTAGTGAACTTTTCAGTCATATTGAGGACTCGAGTCACTTTTCCTGTAGTTTATGATACAAAATTCACGTTTTTCACATTGTGTAAGTATAATCTTTATTGCGAATTTTTCTATTTTTTCTTTCAATTTAGGAGAACACACGAAGATCCAGCTTAGTACTCGCAATATATTAATCGAAGTAACCGCCACTGACTTGGAGAAAGCTAAAATAGTGCTTAACACAATTGTTTCAATGTTCAGCCAATATACATCAAATGGAACTGAAGATAATGCTTCATTCCTGTTAGTTTTCATCATTTTTATTAATTTTGAAGTTTGAATTTTTATTATGAAGAATTTTATATTTTGTAATAGGTTCGGCTAATGATGTGAAAAAAAAATTCCGTTAATGATCTTCACAAATATTGACAGATGTTTACACTGGTATTCTAGAAACTTTTTTAGTGTTGAACCAGTGGAAGTTATTTCGGTTGATGGTACTAAACACGAATATCCGGTATGTTCCTTCACAAGTGGATGGGCTCTTTTGATTAATATCTTAATTTTTTTTTTAAATTGTTATCATTTATTGAAATTTTTTTTTACACTGGAGGATTACGAGTTGCTTCCTGTTTACGAAAGCAAACTTTTTTCTGCTTTGATTACGTATTCTCTGTTTCTTGTTTGAAAAGGATGGATTAGTAATTTTTTATAATATCATAGAATGCTTCATTTCGAGATTTTTAAATTCAGAGTTATTCCTGTAATTATTTCACAGGTTTCTCTAGAGAATCAAAAATATATGACTCCATTTCTGATCTGAGTTTGCAATATTTTTGTATTATCGCAGTGGTGAAATGAAATATAATTGTGAATCACTACGAGAATGATTTGCACGGGGCAATATTATATGTTGTTGTTCCATTGCAAGAAGGCTTCGTGAGCGATGCGCTGCTCTCTGAAAATATATATTATATTCATAACACTACAGAAACAGAGAAGGAGGTACATGATTGTCTGGGGAGGAAGGAAAAACAGTCGCTTTAATTCATTTCATCCATATTCTCTTATCACTTTGTTTATGTAACATTTGTCTAATACTGGTAAATTATCCTATGTGATATTGTTGTCTTTTTCGGATTCTATTATTTGCATCAGTCAATAATGATTCACTCTGGACTGGTAAACCGCACCAGTGCGGAATCTCCCGCATCCATGATGCGACCATTAAGGACAGGACTGCAAAGTAGAAATAACAAAAAAAATACATAAGTGTTCATTTATCGTTTTTACTATGCTTTCAACTTTGAATATTATATATAGTCTTACATATGCAAGTTGTTTAAAAATCATTTTCTTTTTTTTTTTTTATTATAGGATCTCAGTGATAGATTGATGGTGGTAAATGTTAAAAGTATCAATGGAAGAATTGGACTGAACTTGAAAGCTGAAGAAATGTGCTCTCTTCTGAATAAAATGTCACTTAAAACGCAATTACATTTAAAGGAGAAAAGCCAAGATCTTTTAGAAGTAAATTACAAACGATTTTAGATAAAATTATGTTATATGCATTTTGCTTGATAGAACTAGGAGTTATTGATTTTCTTGATGTGTTTCAGGTTCGAGTACCTATAACAAGGGCTGATATATTGCATGAATGTGACGTAGCAGAGGATGTTGCTATTGCATATGGTTTTAACCGAATTGAACAACAGTTTCCAAAATCTTATACCACTGGGGAACCATTTCCGTTGAATAAGTTAACAGATTTGCTGCGATATGATATCGCTGCTGCCGGTTGGACTGAAACATTGAACTTTGCTTTGGTTAGTTAAAATGCTGCAGTAAATTATGAGAATGTAATTCTTTGTTGACTTAAACTTCCACTTGTAATAAGTCATTTCAGTTTATAATTTCAGTGTAGTCGTGATGATATATCAGTAAAACTAAGAAAGCCAGATAACCTGAAGCAAGCCGTTAAAATATCGAATCCAAAGACATCCGAATTTCAGGTTATCATAGTTAGATTTCAAGTGAATCTCGATAAAAGTTTTAATAAAATTTTTTTTGGTTACCATTTGGTTGATTGTAATTCATGAGATGAATTTTCAGGTTTGTGGCTTTTTTGTTAGTTTTTGTGGCTGATGTAAACTATTGCATTAGTATTAGCACTCAATGAAAAATTTTCTAGGTAGCGAGAACATCGTTACTTCCTGGTTTATTAAAAGCACTTGCTTCTAACAAGGATATGCCATTGCCTCTTCGATTGTTTGAGATTCAAGACGTGGTTTTGAAGGATTTAATCGCAGGTTGCACTATGCTTTTACTATTTTTAAATTTTTTTTCAGCTGAGTAAGCAATTTTAGTTCTCAAGATTGAGGATTTGTCTTTTTAAATGTATAATCGTTTTCTTTGCAGACGTAGGTGCAAGAAATGAGCGTCGTTTTTGTGCTCTGTATTGCGGTAAATCATCAGGCTTTGAGATAATACATGGTCTGCTGGATCGAGTTATGCAGCTTCTTGGAATAAAGTGGACCAAAGATGGAACAGGATATTATATTGCGGCTTGTGATGGTATCATAGATATTAGAAATTTGCTAAAAATTTGTTATGCAAGTAATTTGATGAAAACTAATTGTCTTCCGTATAAGTTCAACACTTTTTTGGGTATAATCCAAAGTTAAGAAATTTTATAGAAAATAACGAATGAGACACCAGTCGTCCATGAATATAGTAGATTTATTAAGATTCTGGTCAGAAACAAAAGAACATTGTATAAGATTAGCATTTTTAGATCCCACATATTTGGATGGAAGATGTGCGGAAATTATCGGACCGGCTGGGATTTCCCTTGGTAGAGTTGGTGTTCTGCATCCAAATGTGATAACTGCTTTTGGACTTGCACTACCCATTTCGGTTATAGATATTACTATTGAGCCATTCTTGTGATAAAACTCAGCCGATTATTTTTAGTTGTTGCTGTTATCTGATTTGATTATTAAATATTTATTGTTGCTCAATAAAAGTAATAAATATCCAATATAGCGACCGCATTAATCATTTCTACGGTAATGAATCCACGTTTTTTATCTGAGTATGACCGTTTTTATCTGAGAAAGTTAGAGGAAGAGCACGATTTTAATCCTTAAAGCTGTAATATGAATTTTTGCTCACTACTATCAATGATTCCAACAAAACATTTATCTCGTTGTTACAGTACAGATCTAGACAATACGTTATAGTTGGTATTTTTTTTGCGATTCTGGTTGTGAACGCGTTGCTTATCCACAAGCTATGATATATTTCAAGAAGTATGTGAAATGAGAATTAATTTTGAGAAAATGAGCAAAAAAAGTGATGAAGGAGTCCTCCTTCTTTTGACACTTCATCCTCTTTGGGAAGAATAAGGTTGAGTCTTCAACTAAATTGAGATTTATTTTTCTGGAAGGATTAAAGCGTTTGTCGGATAAAACCGCACACATTTTTTTCAGGTTGGTTTTTAAAAATAGATGTTCAGAAGACTTCGTGACTGATGTACTCGGATTATTTGTTAATCATATTTATCGCAACATGCACTGCAATAATCGGTGAAGCATTAACATATGTACTCGTATATCGTAGCGAACAGTACAAACGTTTGAAGAATGAAATGGAACGAAAAACGAAAAAACTCGAACGAAAGGTTTGTTTCAGTGGAGATATTTTTAACCTGAAATAAGAATACTAATTCTTTCTGAAATGTGACACTGGTGACGCCTCAGTGTGCTGCTGTGGATACAGAACATAGTTTTATTGCTCCAGGACTTGCATAAATGTATATAACACAAAATAATTTTTGTTATGTACATCGATACAAACATTAGTGGAAATTTTTAGAGCAATGTTACTACATAGCTATTAACAAGTTAAGAAAGTATTATAAATCCAATTATCCATTCCTGAATTGTTATGATATGAAAGCTATGTTTTAGAAAGAGACAACCGCTGAAGCAGATCGTACAGCAAAGCGAAAAATTGATAGGGAAGAAGAGAGGTTAAAAGCAACAAATCGAGATATGAGTATGTTCAAGATGAAAAGTATGCTTGCAATTGGTTTCGCTTTTACTGCACTTCTATCTACATTTTCCTCAATATTCGAAGGACGAGTGGTCGCAAAATTGCCTTTCACTCCAATATCATGGATTCAAGGTTTTTCACATAGGTATGATTCTTTTTTCATCTATGGCACTAAATAATGGCAAGTTATATCACTGAATTTGAGAGAAGGAAAACGATATAGCATTGATTCTTAAATTTGACACATTTGATACTATAGAGAAGCTTGCTCGAGATAAGAAAAGGAAAAAAAGCAAATATTCCCTATAATATATAATTCTGTAGGATTAACATCTAAAGGTTGAAGACGGTTATTTATTACTGATATAAAAAATACCGGTAGTGTTTTACATTTAAAAATAGTGAATGTCTGGGTAGTTGTGATTACGTGGACTTGAAAAGAAATGATCATAGAACTAGTCATATTTCATGATTAGATTCTATAATTTCAGAAATCTCATTGGAGATGATTATACGGATTGTTCATTCATTTTTCTATACATACTTTGTACTATGACATTAAGACAAAATTTACAAAAGATGCTTGGATTTGCACCATCTCGAGCTATGAATCGACAATCACAACCGAATTTCTTTGGTGCTGCACCATCGTCAGCGAATAATTTTAGCTACCTTCGTTAAGATATGGTCATTAGAAGTGACGACAACAGTTCAATCCACCATTCTTGACTGTACCAACTTTTATTATGTTTTGTTATTTTTACTGATGTGAAACATTACTTTCTTCAATTCCCATATTTTTTAGCTCAAGAAATAGAATAAGGGAAAATAAGTCATTAGATATGGGTACTGTTTTTTTAATTGCCTATAGCTTCAGTTGCTGTAATACATTGTTTTGGTTTTGACAATTTTCTTCACATAGATTTCTTGGAAAAAAAAAAAAAAAACATTGTCTAGAAATACAGCAGGCTACCTGTTTCTGACTCATTTGCAGCAATAACTATTGTAATTGTCAAATTGTACTGTATCATTCATTAACTAATTTCAATGCTTGTGTTTGGAATTTTCTGAAAAACAAAAGCGATGCATAACCATATTTCGATAGCGATATTAAAAAGCAACGAATGATTTTATTGATATCTGAATGTAATCTAAGAAATTGCAATGAATTTGAAAAAAGAAAAACTTTGGAAACAACAAATACGAGATATTTGTGCTTAATACACTTAGAAGGCAGCAAAAAAAATGAACATTTCGTGCAAGAGGGATAACAAAGATCAAAAATTTTCAAAAGAACAAAAAATAACGCTAAAAATTCATTGTATCATGTTTAATGTCTTCAATCTAGATGTAGTACACATAATGACAAATTGCTAAGAGATGATTAAATTTCTAGTGGAAAATAATAATTTTAATAGTTCAGGTTTGTTGTGAGCCATATACTGTGGGATGTATTTTGAAGCCAAATAATCTGGAAAGGAATAGCCTCAAAACCAAACAGGAATTGTCATCAATTAAAAGTGAAATACTTAAGCTAATATGTAATATATGAGAGATTAGAAGAAGAGGAAGAAAAGCATTAGGAAGTAAATGTAAAATTAAGAAAAAAAGATTCCAAATTTAGCACATTTTATGAGGTTATCTTGTACAGTGTAACGTTTGATTGGTATAATCATTTAGCTAATAATATTGTTAAATGTATTGTAAACATTGGGTGCTAGAGGAGTGTAACCCATTGTTCTGACTTATTTAATTTATTAGTATGATCAAGTAGATCACATTGATGTTTTAGAAACTGTATCAATTCTTGCAAAGGAAAAGACTTCATTAAAAAGATCATTTTAGGTTTACTTTTTTATAATTTTATAACAAGAAAAATTCATAATTGAGAAATATGGTAATATTAACATTCATCAATAATTGCCTAAAAGCTTTCAATATTTAGTTCTGGTGAAATGATAATGTATGTATATTGAAATATTCATATTTTATAAAATTACTTTTAATGAATGTAACATACCGTGGAACAAAATTGATAACTGAACGTCTTGGTTTTAATTCTGGATGCTCAAAGAAGAACATATGAGGAAAACCTGTACCAAAAAATGCACCATCAATCTCTTGATGATATTCATTAATAGGCGTATAAATATCCACACAACTTGGACAAAACAATTTCACCGTTGATACTTTCGGAATATCTGATATTCCTAATTAATAAATTATAATTATATAATAAATATTATTATATAATTAGTTATATTTTTTCAAGAAAAGACAAGAAAAAGTTGAATATATTTGTTATTTTGCTATTTCTATAATTCATGAAAACATATAATCTTTTATTAAATTTCTATTATTACCATAATAAATGTAATAAAACTGAGAAAAAAAAATGCTATTTTCTCATTATGAAATTACAAAATTTTTGTCCATCTCATATTATAATATAATATTATTTCAATTAATATTGCTTATAAAATCTCAAAAAAATTTTTTCACTCTCATTTTTAATATATTTTTTATAAGTTAATAGAAACAGTAAAGTTATAATGTACGATCAAAAAAAGAAGAAAAAAATCAAAAACTGAAAACGATATTTCTTACCAACTGGTAGTAAATTTTGTTTTTCACAATAAAAACGAGGACAAAATCCAAAATCACCATTTCTCCATTTAATCATCATTTGATCGATACCGCCACCTGTCAAAATATAGCGTGCATGAATGAGTCCATAAAGTGTTTGAGTTACCTGTTCTCCGATCATACTTTGAGATAAGCGTGCTCTAGCTTCATCCTCATCTATAATTTTCATATTTTCGCAAAGTCTTAAAAATTTTTTAAAAAATATCTGTAGAAAAAATATGCATAAAGCTTCAATTTAACTTATTGATTTGTTATTAACTATAAGATTAAAGTTGAAACAAATAGCTTATCAACTTTTTAAATTCTATCGTCAGAAATTATCTTTTGTATTTCTATGTTACACGTAAATTTAATGCAGCCAAATATTAAAAAAAAAAAAAAAAATGCTGACTTACCTGGATCTAAACCTAGAATTAATTCTAAAGCATATTCATAATGCGGTACTTGGTCCTTCAAACCGATTAAGTTAGATCGATCAATGATAAAGCTTTCGTCAACCTAAATTATAATTAATTCGAAAAAAAGGAAGGATATGAAGTGAAATATTTACGTTAGCTAGGAAATTATTTCTGCCAAAGAAATTTTTATATTTTTTTTTCACATAATTTCCATATGTGATATCAAAGAAATTCATATTTTCTCGTTTATTTGTAAAACACACTTCATAGTGCTCTGATTTATTATCCAATAACTTCAAATAAATCATAACAATATCACAATAAAATGTAATTCTACTAAATATTACTTATTAGGGATTTAACTTTAATTGACGAAAGTAAAAGTTAGAAAAACAACTGATAACATTAGCTATTAAAAACTTTATAGATGTAATAGTTTTTTTTTTTTTTTTTTTTTTTTAATGCAAAGTAATAAAATAAGTGAACTAAATATGGAAATGATTTATTTAATGCTAAAAAAATAATCGTGTATTATAAGAAAAACAGAAAATTAGGAAATAGGACAAATAATAAACACACCTCACAGAAGAATTCATTTCCGGGCCTATCACAAAATGAAGGTATCCATGATCCTTCGGAACTACTCATCCTACCACTAATTTTATTATCAAAATGTTAGCAATATCTATTAAGAAATAATCTGAGCTTCTTATCCTTCTTCTGGAACTATAAAACAATCTGAATTTCATTTTAACTTTCATTTACCTACTTCCTCCCTTCCTCCTTCATTCTCCAATTCACCCAAAATAACAAAAATCAACCCATTATTACTACATTCGACAGCAATTCTGATCCATTGATCGTAATTGCTCTATGTAATCAATATAGTTACACGATAATATAAAAGTAATAACTACATTCTTTTTTCATTTCTGCAATTTGTTTTCTTTTTTTTTTTTTTTTTGCAAATTTATTCATATTATTACCATCTTTCTTTTTCTTTGTATTTTGTATTCATTCCAAATTAATAAAGATGATATTAGACAAAGAATAAATGCAAACTATTCATTTGAATTTAAAATTAAATTGCTTAAATTAAAATTAAAATTGAAGATAAAATTAAATTAAAATTAAAATTGAAGATAAGTCGTTCCTGTCAAAAGATACATTTGCTCCAGAAATTATTAACAAATATGATAGCTCAACACAAAAATCCATTTATTGGAATTGGGAAAACTGTTGGAAAACATTTTTGTCACTTTGTTGATACAATTAAAGAAACGTGAATGTAAATATTGATCCTAAATTTCATGGTGCAATTCACTGAAGCATTAACTATTTCGTTTTTTATTTCTCTAAATCCTTAATTAAAGTTAATGAAATGAATTAGTTAGGATTAGTTTTAAATTGCTTCCATTTAATCATTATTAATTTCCAATAATGAATTACTATGTTTTTCATTTTCAAGAATTCTTTCTCATTCACAAACTTCCTCAGTTATCACTACAGCATGCATTTGTCTGAAGTTTCTGGATCAAATATATTGCTAAAAGTAATTTTAACGAATTACTTTCGTTATCTTTCAAATTAGTTTTCATTTTTCAACTGAAACAAACAAATTATTTAGATTTTTTTCTTTCTTTAATTTTCCTTTAACAAAAGCAAAGTGGGGAAATTAACAGCAAAAAAATGAATGATTGGAGAAACAAATAAAACATAAGAAATGGATGTTAAAATGATATTAATATATTTATATTACAGTATTAAGCAATAATTTGGAATTATATGAAATTCACAAATATTTATTTTTCAGCACACTATAATGATTGCATCTTCCTTTTCCTTTGTTTTTTTTTTTTTTTTTTTTTTTTTTTTAATAAATCATCTGAATTTATTTCTTATCCAAAATCATTGCTTAGTGTGAAACAAAAAGAAAACAAAAGGTAAACTAAAATTCATTGGCAAAAAAACAGAAAGAAGGAAAAATGTTTATTGCAACAAAAGTAGCTCACTATTCATACTTCTGCACTTCTAGATAAATTCTCAAGATTAATCTTTTTTTTTTCTTCAAAAGAATTACCGCTTTATGATATTAATCAATAGATCATACTTATAAAGAAATTTCCAATACAATATTTCTCCAATTATGATAAAATATACGAATCCCTATGATGCAATTTCCTTATAATTGATTAATAGTTTTGAGAAAAAATAACTACACTTTAATTTTCAAAACATTTCTGCTATTCATTACATAGCCTTAATTAATAATTTATTATTACTAATAGAAAGTTTTTATCTAATGGGAATGTTATCTGTTAGCATCCAATAGAAAATTCGACAAAATTAATTAATTACTGAAAATGTAACTTATCAGTTTAAAACAAATTAATAAAAAGAAGCATTAAGACATATCGATGCTATTGAGAAAAAAGTTTTTCAAACTCAATGTAAAATTTTATTTGAAATAAAATGCAATGCAAGCAGATGTATGTTTTTTAATCAAACACTTTGACATACTTGAAAAAAAAAAAAAAAATCTCATAAGATTAATTCATCCAACAAGAAAAACAGTTCAATTTGTTTATTCTAAAAATCCAGCAGTGGTAGCCGGTTGGATATGTTGTTTCTTTCTATCAAATAGCCATTTGAAGATATGAATTGTGGCGTTTCGAAGATCTTTTTGTCGATACATAAATAACATTACCATATTGAAAGAGTTTATAAATGGTAAATATACGCAAAACATCACAACGATTTGTGATTGTATACTTGGATTCATCATATAAGCACATTGCACTATTGATGGTACCACAACAAGGACTGCAAAAAGATAAATTAGAGAGTAAAAATTTAACAAAGCAATAACTATAATAAATTGTACCATAAAAAAAAAAGGATTAAATTTCCTTTAAATTGAATTCCCTTCAATATGACTGTTCATTTCTACATTTATTTGATCCTTTCAATGCTTTCATATTAAAAAAACTAATGTAATTTGGTGCAATTTATTCACTACTGATTTTCCGGTTCAAAATTTTAAAATTTTAGAGGAACTTTAACACTAAAACTATGATAAATCCTCATAATTGGGTAAGTAATGCATTATTTATTAATAATGAAAGAAACATACAAAATGTAAAACAACAAGAAATCAGTGCTGTATGAGTATACCGCTTTTGATTCTTGAGAAACTGTGATAAATTACGGTTATATGAATGCTTTGAAAGAAACTGAGGTCCAAACTTCCTAAAAATGATAATATATAAAATTGTTTAAATTTAATTTTGCTAACATGCTGAAATTTCATTCCAATATACTTTACCAAGTTCTTTTTAAATTAAATTTCACTGAATTGTAAAATCCATTGAAGACAAATATAACTTAAAAAGCAAAACAGAAGTGTATCGTGATATAACTACTGGTTATGAAAGGATATTAGGATATACTCTGCATATTTAAAAAAAAATTCATACCTTTTCAATAGAAGAATAACAATAACCATTACAATAATACTAAATAATGAAGCAGTGGAACTCATTAATGTTAATGTGACGTAAAAATGAGAGTTGTAAACGTTTTGTAACCTGAAACATTCATTTTAATTATTTGAAGAAACACAAAGATACGATAAACTAAAAAAAGTTAAAAACAAAATCATTTGTGTAAAATAATAAATTTAATTATTATAACATACAAGCAAAAATGCGATATATATCGCTTCGGTTCAATTAAACTTGCGACAACGGTAAAAATCACTGCAATGGCAGTAATTGCATATTGTATGGTAATTAATGCAAAGATTATTCGTTTACTGTGAGTATAGTAATACATTGGGAATGCAACGACACAAAATCTTTCCACACTATTCATTAGTAAACTCCAACCATCAACAAAAAACATTGTTAGAAGAAAGATTGGCACCTGAAATTACATTGTTTGTTGAAATTGTAATACAGTGGTAGTATTTGTTTAAAATTAATTTCTAATTAGAATCCTTAAATACAATAAGAGATTTGTTTAAGCTTTTTCTTTTTTACTTTCTAGTACTTTGTTTTAGCATTTGAAATGACAAGAAATACCAAAGAAAACCGAAAACATTCGATTATTTTCTGAAAAAAGGGACGAACATCAAGGACGCAGTCATGATGAACAATAAATTGCTCTTTAACAGAAGAAATAATCCATCGCTGTACTCCCATTAATACTGCACTCATTCCGGTTAATCCATTGTTCAGAAAAACAACTGCGAGAACAAGATAGGGAGCTCTGAAATGCTTAAATTTATTCAAATTTCATTTATTCATTGATCTGTAACAAAAAACTATAGCACAAATAATAATACTAGAAATAATCTTGATGAGATGAAACATTTGACCTGAGCGCTTTACGTAACATCACAAGCAAGAAGATCGGGGTGTTAACCAATACTAGCATTGGGCCAATAATCAAATAACCGTATATATGCAAATTATGGCTCAAATGTGATAGCATTGATGTATTGATATTCGTATCATTCAGTAAATCATCAAATTCTGTTCTGTTTACAGTAGCATTCATTGAAATATGTAAGAGATAAAATAATTAGCAGAGTCAATGCAGAGTCGTTCAGTGTCGTATGACTTTCGGTGATGAGATGCAAAACAAATGATATTCCAAATAATAAGTAAATAGTGCTAATGCTAGCAGATATTTCCCTGATAAATGAAATTAAAGCAAATTCCTTTAATATATGAAATCTTTGTGATGTACAAATAACATACAATAAAGTGTGAAAAGTTTGGTTATCACAATTTAAATTTCATTGAAGAATATTGAAAGTAACTGTGCATATTTCGAAAGCAAACGCAAAAGTTCAAAAAAAAAAAATTATTAGTCTAAATGTGACATTCCAAATACAGCCATTAGTCTGAATGACACAGCCTATCAGTTGCAAATTAATTCAAAACAAATTTGCTTGGAAATGTTTGTGAAAATCTCATGTATCCATATTAAAAGGTAATTATTTCCAAGTGGTAATTTGTAACAAATTATGCCAGTGCTATTTGATCAAAAGCCATTTCAATGCTGATTAAGTACTAATAAATTTATTTTTCTCCAAATGTCATATGGCAAAGTAATTGCTTAGCTATAAACAAGCATTACGTCAAATACAGAAACCATTGGTTAATTTGATTATTCTTTGCAGGATTTGATCACGATTGATAAGAAATATTATTTCAGAAGCATTTTCATTTTCATATCTTACGGAATTTATTCATGGAATTTTGAAATATTTAATTTGATGACTGTTTGACAGTAGTTGTGAAGAATTTCAACAATTTTGTTTTTTTTAGTGCACTTGCAAGCAAAGAAACAAAAAAATAAATTGGTAATTTGTTGACATGTTTTTTTTTTTTTTTTTTTTTTTTTTAAAGTGAGAAAAACTTAAAGAGAAAAAACTGCAAAAATTTTGTAGTAAGAAGGATTGTTCAGAATAATTGAAACTTTTTCTGTTTTGACTGATGATTAGGCCATGTGATTTTTGTATTTTCAACAGAGATAGTTTTGATAAATTATAAGAATTCATGAAGCATCATATATATTGTAAACATCCTATCATAAATATTATAAACATTCTATTAATTTTCGTTTATTTCTATTACTAAGAATACAATAAGTAAAGTTTTGTTAGTAGTGAGTATCATATCAAATCGACTGAAAAATTATAATTAGTTGATGGATTATTGCTAGAAGCTCATTAATTTGAATATAATGAGGAAACTCAATAGTAGTGGAAAATTATTACAAAAGAAATGAATGTGATTAATTCGATTTCATTTCATGCATCGAAATTGATACCGCATTGCAATGCTATCATATAATTACTAACTAAATGAAAGTTTTGAAAATAATAAGAAAAAAATCTTCGATATTGTTGAAACTTCTTATACATCACAACTTTGCATAATCATTTTATATTTTATGCAATAAAAATGATTGAAATGGTTATAAATTTTGAAAATTTTGTTTAATTGAAAGGTTAATTGTTATGTACGACAAACATATCCTAACGCCTTGAAGGTAAAATTTTTAAGTTTCATTTACCATTTACCTAGTCCATTTACCTATTTCAAAAGGATTTTCATATCCTAAGAAATTTATTCATGGAAATTTGAAATTATTCAAT